GTCTGTCAAACAGCGGGCGAGGTAGAAGCACCTAAGGCGACATGCGAACAAGGGCAAAATTTGTCATTTCCACTCGAAAGGTCTCTCCGCAAATCACATTCGTTGTAACAACGATGATTGTGACGATGAGAGTGGTGAACCTGACGACAAGAAGATGATGAGATGATGATTATGATGATGATGATGATGATATGATGATATGATGATGCGATGATGCTGAGGATAACAACAATCACCAACGGTGCTGATGGTGGTGAGGGAGCAGCAACATGATGGTCATCTGATCTTGGGCTCCGACCTGAGGACAGTGTTGTCCTCATGCCGCGTGGTAGCCAGACCGAAAAGCTCGATCAGGCCCTGTGTCTGCATTTGTCTGCTGCTGCTCCGTGTCTCTGTCTCTGTGTGGGTGCGCTCGAGTGCTTGGAGGTGTGTGCAGGTGTGTGCAGCTCTGTGGTTCTGTGCTGGCACGTCTGGCTGGAGTTGTCAGTGGGCGGGTGAATGTGCGCATGCTCCGATTCCAGACATGTGCACACATGCAACCCGACTCAATGCATCGCCCCTGCTTCACCAAATCTGTAACATGACAGGAATCGTCACCAGTAGCTGACCACCCCGATCCAGAAGATGCAAACAATTCCCGCAGGTAGCCGACCCGACCAGAAGAAGCGCAAACTCCCAAGTCGTTCAAAAAGCCCTCCACCGGCCTTGGAGGGAGCCTCCTCAGAAATCATTGAGATGAAGCTGGTACGAGAGTCGGCCAGAGTGAAGGCCTCGGCAGTGCAGAGTTTTGCGCCATCCGCCAGCCTGCCTAATACAGGGGCCTGAATGATGAGAACAGTGTTGTGTGATATATATAATCTACTATAGATAAGAATAAGGAATCCCCAAAATAGTATTGGTAATGATTTTTTGCTCCTATGTCACCTCTCTGTGTTTCTTCTTGCAGGACGGCGACGGTGCAGTCCAAGGGCCGGAAGAGGCCCTCTTCGACCTTGGGATGCTGGAGCAAGGGAGCTGCTGGCGAGACCCCTGCTGCGTTCTGGGGCCAGGGCCCACTGACCGGAGTAGACGCCAGATGTGGCATCCAACCTGCAACAGGGCGAATTAGGGTTTAGGGGTTTTGGGCATCAGTGACGATTATCTCAAAAGTGATGTACAGATGGGATTTAGCTTGCCCAAAACCATATCTCAAGCGGTATCCAGCTTTCATGCTAAGACAACCGACATTCTGCACTACCATGTTCCAACAATATCAAAACAGTACGGAATCCGGTTTTGATGTCAACCAGAAACATCTGCATGACGATCGTGCTGTGGTATCAGCTTGACATCCGTTTGTTATGCCGACTGGCCTGGCATCGAGCTGGACCTAAGGTAGTCTGCAGCATGGCTCATAGCACATGGCGGCTTTGCTTGGTCTGCCCCGAGGTGCGGACCCACTTCGAGCCACCCATGCTGCTGCTGAGCCCACGCTGCGAGTGGATCCACCTGCCGCACGACTGACGGAAGGAATTCTCAGCTCGTGCAGGCACGTAGATCGTGTCAGCAGTATGTGGGCCCGGCCAGCGGTCCAGCGAAAGTTCGGGGAATCGAAGTGCCGCGACGAAACCTCGCAGTGCATCCCCATTAGTTCAGCAAGCAATCCACGACCCATGATAAGCTTCTCTCGAAAGAACCATCCGCTGCCAGAGTCTTAGCCTTTTGCCAGAAGTGTTGTTGCTGTTGCGCGGGTCCTGCTCCAGAGTTTCAGTCTTCTGTTCCACACCATCCTACTAGGACGCACGTAAGGGTTCATCAAAATGTCAGATTTAGGTGAGTCCGTCTTCGACATAAAATCAAACGCCATCTCTGCTCACACTCCCCCTCTGAAGCTTGCCAGCGGATTGCTCCTGCATGTGGACTTCTGTCAGAGCCAAGCCGCTCCAGCAACCTTCAGAATACAATCTAGCAGGAACGTACACGTAAGGGGGCTCAGCAGCTCACAGCTGCATTTGTAAAGCGTTTTGAAAGCACTCAAGACAGCACACAAACCTACCTATGTGCCGACGTCCTCCCTGGCCCAAATCGCTTTCATCCGTCCATGCATCCTCACCTAAACCGATACACGACACCACCAACAATCGGGCCTACAACAATAAGGACACCTATTGTAAGGCGAGTCGGATACAAGCACTTATCCACACATACATTGCAGACAGACAATCGGACAGACGGACAGACAGATAGAGAAAGAAAGGCAGCGAAAGACAAATACAGGAAAGGCAGACAAAGACAGACGGACGGAGAGTCAGAAACAGAGACGGAGACAGACAGACATGTCACAAAATCCCGGCCTGTTGTGATCTCGGGCTTCTGTCGCCGGAGAGGCCTGGACACCAAACCCTGAAACTCCCCCAAAGGGCCGGCCCAAAGAGCTTAGGGAACCCTAAACCCTGGTCTGGTGCTACATGAAACCCACGAAAGAGAGACGCACCACAAGACCCGACAGCTGGGCGACGGGCTCTGCCAGCAGCAAAGGAAGCATCCAAACCTGGGCCAGAACTCACTCGCCACAGTCCCCGGAGAGCTTGATCCCAGCGCTGCGCTTAGCTCTGGAACGAAACCCTGACATATCCTGACATCGCAAGCCGCAAGACCAGAGAAGAGAGCCAGGAATCCTCTTGAGAGTCTCTGCAAAGAGACATGATAACAATAGGAATAATGGGAATTATAAAAATAATAACAACAGTCTTGATAGCGACAGTGGTGATAATGAGCCACGAAATGCCAAGAGCCGCTCCCCCGAAACCTGGATCGCAAGCTCCACGAAGCCGGGCCTGATTGAGCCGATCACCGCGCAGCTTGGCCTCCCGGGCGCGAAAAAAGCGGAAAAAGACTCCCGAGCCATGATCATATCTATCCTATCTATCTAAAATATCTACAAGTCTGCACGCTTGTGGTAACTGCACCCTTCCCCAAACAAGGCTCAGCGCGGTGCCTTCCCGCGCACTGAAAATGCCTCGGCCCTGGGCACAGGCGGTAGAGCTTCCAATACCTCAGCGAGCATCGGAGCAGAATAGGGCAGCGTTGCTGCATGCTGCTTCACATCGAGCTGGTATGAGCTGCTGATAGTCCGAGGGTCTTGGGAAAAGAAGCTTGTAACATTGCATGTGGTTTCACATCTTGTTTATCGCTGACATCGATAATCTTCAAGTAACCATAACATACCACAACCGCTCACGGGAATCACTGTCTTGTTGACAACGGTTGCGTCTGCCAACCCCGGCCCCTCACACGACGATGCCACATGTCAGTACTCCATCTCAGAAGGTGAGACACCGTGCCACTGAGGGCAGAGCCTTCTCAGCGGAGAGCTCGCGCGTGAGGAGCACCCAAGTTGCTACCTTGACCGTCTTTCCCGCGTATTTCATCTGGTGCTTCTTGCTCAGCGTATCGTCGTAGAAAGGAGTTGTCCCAGCCAGCTGCTTCCAAGGCCACACCTCTTCCGAGAGATTCCGTTGCAGCCATTCTCGGAGCCCTTCCAAATCGTTGGCACGGGGCGGCCGGCTGGGTTGTTCCCAAGGCTTCACAACGCCGTCTAGCAAGTCCCGCAACCAATGCACCGAGGGAGGCGGGAAGACATGTATAGAGAAGGATACGAGCTGCCGGATGAGCAACACCATACTCCACTCGCAAGGCAAGCCCAAGCTACATAACAACAAATGCAGATCATGCAGAGCCATCCAATCACCTGAGGGCGGCAGAGAGTACTGAACACGGCGCGAGTGTGTGCTTCAATGTGATCAACGTCTCAGCCGCTTCAATTTCATTTACTGATGCAGAAGTAGTAGCTATGTAGTAGCTTCTAGCTCCGCTGCTGGCCCTAAGCCCTCAGAGCCCAGTCGCAGCTCAGCGCGCTCTGCAACAGCCAGGCACAGCAAAGCAGTCGAATGCACAGCTGCGGGCCCACGGGCTCGAGGAGGCTCCGCGTGTCCGACTGCAATGTCAGCGGGCCTTGCTTTAGATTGCGTGAGATGACAATCAATGCAGACGTGTGTGTGTGTGTGTGTGCATATCTATTTGTTTATTTATTTGTTTATTTATGTAGAATACCAACATGCATATGTACACACCCGTCTATACATGCATAACATGTGGATGTGCCTGTGTGAGTACAGGTATTACACTAGTATACATGTCCCTGAATGACTTTCAGAACTCTGAAGCATGTGTATGCACGGGAGGCTCGCCAAATTCGAAGACCAGGCGCTGTAGGCGGTGAGTATGAAGTTCACCTTGCGTTGCCAAAACTGCGACTGGTCCAGCGTCTCTCGGAGCCCTCGGGAAGTGGAACGTAGGGCACTGATAGCTTTGAAGACCCGCGACTCACCGGCACAGCCAGAGAGCGCCCAAAGGACATCCGACAGGATGTTTGGTGCCAGCTGGAGCAGTCTCGTCTGGATGCTCGAGGCTCCTCTTCTGCGCCTCGGCTGAGACCTCGGAAGCAGTCCCGGCTTCTGCCGCGCCTGGTGGCAGTTCAAAGCTCCCATGACGATCCCTTGAGAGCCAAGGCTTGCTTTGGGAGTGGCTCGAATGCTGTTTCAGGATTCAGGACAGCCGTTGATTCCGGAAGCTGACACTTAGACTTGCTTTCCTCAGTTCAAAGGCATGCCGCAGGGTGTCATCGCTAGAAACATACATGACAGCCGTGCTCTATGTGGCTTCGCCACATTCTGGCCGGTCCATCTTTGCTGCATCGTGGCACCTGGCCCGCGTGGGCGGTCACCCGGCCACAGAGCATTTACACGCATAAACAGGAACGGGGGCTCCGAATATGGCCAGCCACATCCCCGGGACACAAAAACGTCAAGCGGCACCCAAGCCGGTCGTAAAATAATCCGGCCACAGAGTCGCACGACTCAAGGCTGCAATTCGGGAAGGCTGAGTGTGTTCCACAGCAGCCACAGCTCCCGTCTGAAACATTCTATCGCATAGGGATATAGCAGCAATTCTACGAGAAGTCAGCGCACTCCGATCGTCATGTACCACACCAGAAAAACCTTTCGTGAAAAGGCAGAGAGAGAGAGAGTTCAACGAGTCTTCGAGCAAAGGGGGACCGTGTCAATGCCTCGAAGCTGAGCTTTCCCATTCGGGCTTTGTCGGCCTCAGCTTGGCTTCCCAACGACGAAGAGAAGTTGGAGCAACCTTCAGCCCTACCTCGAGCCAGAATTGTCGCAGCCTCGTGGGGGAGATGTCTTCCCTCAGAGAGCAGTGGAAAATTCGATGTTCTTAGAGGCTTTGGCCTGGATAGAACATACAATCGAAAGTTTACATACATTGTATTATATATATACACAGAAACAACATAATACGGGCCCGTGTTTTGCACATTGCCAGAAAGTACACATTCCACAGCAATATCAATATATAATATGTGGTATATACTATTACAGCCTGCCTGTGACACTTAGAATGACCCTTTCTAGGGAACAAAGGCTTGGACATGAATTTGTCGTCTTGAAGTCTATTTCCGGATGACCACGACGACACTCTGTCGCTTGCTCTGCCATAGGCCTCACTCTGCTCTTTCGTTTTAGTTGCAACTCGCCGGTCGGTTTAGGCTTCAAGCTGGCCGGCTTGAGGGAGGCAAGCGCCCACCACAGATGCTGTCTCCAGCTCAGACACTCGTTTGTTTAAAAGAACCGCTGAATAGATGGGCGCCGGGCAAATCGCACTTCCACAAAGATGCCACGCAGTGACGGAACTCCGCTTCCTCAATAGAGCCATTCCTGCGGTCTCTTGATGGATGTACTAGCGAGGTATTTTCACAAAGCCTCTCAAAGCCCCTGGAACCGTAGCCCTGTAAACACAAAACCCAGGCAGACCTGTTGGCATCTGAGGCATTGAAGGTTTTGTGGCATCGATCGACCTGCGAACGTTCCAGATCTGCAGGTTAGTCCGTGGTAGTAGCCGCGGGTGATGCTACTGGTTGCGGCAGTAATGACACTAGGAGCGTGGCAGTAGAGTAACAGCTGAACTCTTCTGAAACATCCTCTTCAACGTCGCATGCTCCTTGCCGTGATCTTTCAATGCCAACTTCATGCATGACGGCCGCAATCTGGCATAGTCCTGCAACCCTCTTCTACTTCTACAGCTTAGGTCTTAGGTTCTAAAAACAATAATAATAACAGTAATAGTAATAGTAATAATAATAATAATAACAATAATAATAATAATCACAAAATTCCCCTAGCGACTCGACGAACTTTCTTGGATATCTTGGGACGGAGACAAGGGGCCGCCACCCTCTCGAGTCTTTATGAAAACCTTGGGAGCTTGAGCAGACGAATGATATTTATATTATAGTAGCTAATATGACTGTTATAGCTACATTATACTGCTCATATACTATAGTATATAATATGAAGCCTGAGAAGCAGATGCCAAGGCCATCACCTCGTCGAGAGTGAAGTTATGCTTGCGAGCCAACTCCCGCAGATACCGCTCCTGCTGAATTCGGAGATAGGCAGCTCGGGACTTTTCCAACTTCATGAAGAACTCTTCTGTTGAATACCCTGTACCGTCATATGTCCCCCTTACCGGGTCCTGGGGATCATGCACCACCAGCTCTTCCGTGAAGGCATGCTCTGTGGACCTGCATGAAAAGGCCCTGCAAGTTCTCATAGCTCAGAGGATAGACGCAGCCCAGTCCACAGTCGGCCCGAGCGGTGGCTGCTCTGGGGATCGCACCATAGCAAAAACTCTTCGAAGCAGATCTCCGCATTGCCGTCCCTGTCAGCCTGCTGGGGTGAACCCCTACAGGTCGAGCCCCCTTGGCGGGTGGTCAACTTTCGGGCCTTGTTCCAATTGAAACTGAGGAGGTGCGGAGGAACAACTTGACCGACGGGTATGGCGCAACGGTCGCGAATCGCCTCCCAGTTCACGGTTGTCGCTTCAGTCTCAGCAGCTTTAGAAGCTCGTGCCTGTTCAAACTCGTCGAAGGACAGGCGTCCGTCCTTGTTCTTGTCCAGGAGGAGATATTCCTGTTGCTGGGGCGGACGACCCCGAAACAAAGGTGTTCGTTTCTGGAAAGCTAGAGAGGCTGCAGGCAGACGGGGGACAGAGAGACGCAGACAAAGAGGCGCGGCGCGCCAACCCCAGAGGTGGAGTTGCAGACTTGCCAAAGTAGTCCCAGAGAAAGAGCTGCTCAGGCGTGCACCTCCAAAGTTTCCCTCACCTGCACGACCGTCAACCTCAGGCCAAAGCAGGGTTTAGGGTTTAGGGCTTAGCGCAGCAGCACAAGAGGCCATACTACAACAAGAAGATGCGACGGACGGTCGCCTGTGCTTTTTGGCCAGCTCGCTGCAGGTGGCATAGCTAAGCCTGAGAGAAGCAGGTCCGGAGTGGACTGTTTAGGGCCTTGTGGCTGAAAGTCTGGGGCTTCGAGATTTAGTTTATGGTTTAGGGCTGATGGCCATGAAATCGCTTCTTCCAAGGGCACTGCTCACGCCCATGACGTTCCTCATCACCTGGAACATGTTGACCGGAGTGGCCGACAACGCACAAGACAGAGCCAGAGCACACACTTGTCTCAGTCCCACATGTAAGTTTGGCCTCGGTCCTCGACCGGTTTCGGCCTCTGCCTCAGCACTGAAGAATGCCAAAGATGAAGACCGGCAACGACACAGCAAACAAGAACTGCGACGCATCGCAGAGGCACTGGCCAAGTTGCCGTCCTCCTGTGACTCGGATTCCTGGTGTGCCTCGGGTCGGAGTCTGCGAACTCAGTCACGCTTCGAGCTTCTCTCGCACCGGGCCTCACCGCTGCCTCGGGTCGGTACGGAACGCTTCCTGGGTCTAAGAGGGCCGGGGCCCGCCACACCACCGTCAGAGGCAACGGCAAGCAGTCTCGGCAGACACCCAAGTTCCTGACGTTTGGAGGAATAGCGCTGCAGCTCCTGACTGTCCTGCGCCGCGCTGCGCAGCAGGTGGCGGCCAGCACAAAAGGACGCGCTGCATCTCTGGACATGGGTTCTCCTCACCCGGCAGTGAAGCCGCATCATTCGTGCTCACCTGCATTTCTGCATTACCATGATGGCGGTACTGGGCAGAACTTTAGTACAAACAAATATACACATGAGGATAAGACAAGTACCGCTCGACTGAGACCGCCGCTTGTCGCACTGACATGGGTGACATTGGTGGCTCTGTGTCGGCATCACCTGCCAAAGTCGAATGATGGAAGGCTCTCACGGGTGTTAGAGTTGGCCTGCAGCGACCACCATCGCCCAGTCGACAGCTGCCTGATGACTTGTGAGCCCGAGTGACTTGATGCAGCTGCCAGAACAGTATACTCACGGCACTCTGCTAGGAGCCAGGCCAGAACCGCCTAAGTCGGCGTGCTGATCTTGCCAGTAGCTAAAGTCTCAAAGCACGCGGTCTGCCTTTCAACGGCACCTACCTCGGCACAACTGGAATCTGGGGCAAGCACCAAATCTGCCTCGTCTCCGATGATCCGAAACGGATCTGCCTCTCAGGTTCTTGGAGGAGGCCCAAGAGTCCTAGAGCCCATCGGAACTCCCTGCGCTCCCCTCGCTCCCCAAAAATGCCTGGTTCTCGTCCAGGACCTCTTCGGCGGAGGAGGCTTTTTCGGTGTCGCTCACCGGACTCATCACCTGCAACTCCTCGTACTTGGAGGATTCGCTCTGGCCGAGACCTCGGCTTTGAATCGGGGAGTCGAAGTCCTCCAACTCCTTTGGCTTGGCTTGTGCGATGTCGTCCCGCTTGGCGTGGAAGAGATCGGAGAAACCGCTCTTCAGCATGTCGTGGATGCTTTGCTCCCTCTCGAGTTCTTCCTCGGGCTCTGTTACATCCACCTCCTCCATGAGCTCAAACTTCTTTTTCTTCTTCTTCGGGTTCCGCCTGGCAAGAGCTATCGCTCCAAGACGTGCGCTGAACCCTTGAACGAATCTCTCCACAGCGCCTGGGAGTGTTACCCGATCGCACCTTAGCCCAGGAATGAACGGCGCCGTCTTTATAAACCTCTATGGTGGGGCCAGGCGAGCTGGGGGGGCTTCTGTCCTTGAAGGGGGGTGGGGCGAGGGCGTGGAGAGGGTGAGGCAGTGCGGGGGAGGTACTTGGCAACGAGGCGCGACCCGGCAGACCATCTATAGGCACAAGTTACCCTCGTCGTCGTCATCGAGGCCACCACCATCATCACCATACTCATCTATCATCATCAACAACATCATCATGCTCATCATCCGCATCCTGATGATGACAAAGACCCCAAGGCTTCACAGCGATCGAAGCGAAGGCCAGGCCCCGGGCGCTTCGATGGGAAGCTGCGCGCTCAGACCTCGGCTCGGGTCCCCACGCCCGAAGCCCCGCCGCAAGGGGGGGAAGCCTGGGAATCCCGAACCTCTAAATGCCATCAAACCCTAAACCCTTCAACCATAAACCCCTAAACCCTAAAACCCTGAACCCCTGAACCTTAAACAAGGCCTCCGAAGGCAAATCCGTCACAACGTCCTCCTTCGATATCGACTTTCGCAGCCAAGGCCGCGACTGAACGACTCGCTCCTCGTCGGGCATCGGGCCACCTCAGAAGTGCGAGGACTCTTTCGTGTGGAAAACTGTATGTCAAATTGTATACTGCACCTTATATAATACTCGGTCCAAAAACAACATACATATATACACTGTATGTATGTATGCATGTATGTCTGTAACTACGTACTTATGCAAATGTGTGTGTATATGTGCGTATGTACAAATTTGTATGTACGCATGCATGTGCGTGTGTGTGTGTGTATATATATATATATATATATATGTATATATATATATATATATATATATATATACATATATATATATATATATACATACATGTATATACATATATATATATATATTAACTACATTATACTGTATATTCCCGTATATGTTATATGTAGAATCCAACACGCCAAGAACAGGTGCCAGCCCACTCCCGGTCGGGTTCTGGCGGGCACTCTGGGATCCGCCGCGCAAGGCAGACGGCCGGGTCTCCTTGCAGGTCCCAGCAGGCCAAGCGGGAGGGCTTTGGTGGGAGCCTCAAGTTCGACTAGATAATGCATTATACATTACACTAAGGTGTGGGAAACGTTTATACACATAATATATATATATATAAACATACATACGTACATACATACATACATACATATATACATACATATATATATATATATATACATACATATACACATACGTACATACATACACATACAGTAATTATAGTACCCCATATGATGTAGTTCCTTATTCTATGTACTATACTGCATAGTATATCATGAACCCATCTGTTTACATTAAATGAAATATAAATTGTCGCACTTGGGTACTTGCAAGAGTGCAACTCTATCTCACAAGTCGGGTTTGTCTCGGGTACCGGGTGTCAGGACCGGCAATGCTGCGCGTTTCCTCCTTCGAGCTTCGGGCATTTCGGAACAATCCAGCTACAATACAAAACAATACAAAATCTAGGATAAAGTATTGTATTATATGCAACATGTAACGTACTACAATATGTAGCATAGTATCTGGTAGAATATATAATAACATGCAGTACGTTTGGTATATTGTGCAGTATGTATGTATGTATGTATGTATGTATAGTATCATGTAAAGCATAAAGTAACATAGCTTAGAATGTACTCAAAACTGGTAGCCTCCAGCCCGGCTCGTGCTTTTTCGCGTGCTTCAAACGGATCCAGAGTTAGGGCTTCGGGCATTCCCATGCTGCGCTCCCTTTAGTGGTAGTAGTCGTCGTCGTCTTCGTCGTCGGTAGTGGTAGTAGGGTAGTAGTAGCAGCAGAAGTAGTAGTAGTAGTAGTAGCAGTAGTAGTAGTAGTAGTAGTAGTAGTAGTTGTAGTCCATTTCTACGCGCCACTAGCAGAACTCGCTTTACTGCCAATCTCTGGCTGCAAAGGCTTCCACAGGAGACTCAGCTTGTGGGAGCGATTTATGGCACAGGCTCTCGTTTGAGCTTCTGGTGGTTTAGGGTTTAGCTTTTAGGGTTTAGGGCTTCTGGTTGACAGCAAACCCTCTCCTCCTTGCTAAGCTGATGGAGATCCTCATGGCCTCGATAGGGTTTACGGCTAGGGCTCGATCTGGAAAGACGATGCTTCCCTGCGAGGAGTTTGCAGATCTCGTGGAGGCCGAGCAGGCAAACGTCGAGCAGAACTTGAAAAAATGACTGCAGAAGTCCTATCCGTCCTATCCACCGGGCGCGAGCCAAGGCCTGCACTAGATTGCAGTCGCCTGCGGACCAGCGCATCGTGCTTCTGTCTCCACTCTCTTTGTACCTGCAGACATCAGAATATCCTGCAATGGTCGCCACAGCCGTGAGCTCTTGAGCTTTCCCGTCGACGCTCGACATGTGTACGCACAAACAGTCTAGTATACTGCAGGTATGACGTGCATGGGTTTTGCACAATCCGAGCTAGCGCTGATAAGCGCAGACCCGGATCCTCCCGACTTCGTCCTTTCCAGGGGCCCTGGGGTCGGGCCTGGGATCATGGTGGCGCGCGCTGTCTGAAGGGCGAAACGCGCATAGCTCATGCTCCGAACGACGCGAAACAATAGCAGCAGCACGAGCGAGAGTAATCATCGATAAAGTGGTGACAACATGAATCATGTCAAGAACACAAGTGACAGCGATGGTAACAGGAAGTAACAGGAAGAGCAGCTGCAATGGCATGTCAATGCCGGCACAAGGGCCCAACATAAGACGCTCGAAACCATATAATGCAAGATAAGATATGACAAGACAAGATAAGATCAGATAAGATGCTACCATATGAGCCAACATGTTGTACTCTAACCTAACATAATGTAAGCTAGCACAGTATGACCTGATGGAAAAAGAACCTGAAACCATTTAACCTCAAAAGAACAGTATGGTATAATAAAAGACGATGTAATAGAATGTGATTTAATACAATATAGCAAAATGTCCAAACTCCGACCGCTGGGCCTGGTTCAGCTTCTTGAGTCCACCGGCATACCTGGAAGCATATGGGTTCCGGCATGTCGAAGCGGGGAACTTTGGCTTTCGGACTTGATATGAGGATCCTGGGCTGAGAGCTTCCGGTATGAAATAAACCCGCTCTTTAGAGGTCGAATAAAAAGTAACAATACTAATAGTAGTAGTAATAGTAGTAGTAGTAGTAGTAGTAGTAGTAGTAGTAGTAGTAGTACTAGTAGTAGTAACAATAACAATAATAACAGTTAGTTAAAACCTTGACATACTCTGGCCACGCCGTCTGCAACAACCATGGGAGGCTATTCTTGCCCAGCGATGTCTCGGACTGCATCCGAAGGCCTGTCTGCGATCCGGTTGGCGATTTCTTCGATTTGAGGAAGACTGTCCTTCAGCAGCTTCGAACACAGAAGGCAGATCTCAGCTGAATCGAAATATGCGCTGCTCCGCTCATCTTGACCTGGAGAAGGGTTTTCTCATCTCCCAGTGCAACTCTCAAAAAAGGGCATCAACGGATGCTGCTAACGAATGTCGTCGTAGGTGGATCTGCACGTTTGACGCCAAATCCCATGATGTGCCAGGGATGTCTTTGTCCCAGCTGTTGCAGAAACTCTGCAACTTCTTCAGCATGACATGTGGTGAAACTCTCTCTCGCCAGCTGCACGTGTGTCAAATGCTGCAGCTGAGTGCCTGCCTTCCCCATGACAACTCACCAACCAAGGCGGAAAATCATGACAAGAACACTGTTGAATACTCCGAGTTTGAAAGATGAACTTGGAGAGGCCTGCCACGAATTAAGTGGTCATTGGATGAACATTGCATGCAAGGCCAGGGTATCTTTGCCCCAGCAGCTGCAACCACTCTGCAACCTGGGCCTCAAAGGTCTTGCGATGGTGATACTCTCTCAGAACAGACTCTCGTTGTAGTTCCAGCAACCGCTCCATATTCTGCAACTGCTGGCGAAGCTCTTGTGCAGCTTCCTGCTCCTCGGAGGCTTTGGCTTGAGCCACCTCCAGCTCCGAGCGGAGTTGCCGCACGGCAGTGGCTTCTTCGGTCACCACGGCGGCGCAGGCAGTCGCCTGCTTCGTGGCGTGGTCGAGCAGTGCCGCCAAGAGCTCTGTCTCGCACATTCGTGCATTGCTTGCATCAGTGTTCTTCTTCTGAGGCTCCTCAGCGATTTTGCGCGACTCCGGGTCGAAGGCTTCTGGCTTCTGATGCAAATCGAATTTGGCTGTCTCGAGATGAGCCTGACGTTTGCGAATCTCTTCGCTTTGAAGCTCGAGCTGCTCTCGCATCTCCCGCTGCCGCATCTCTCCTCTCCTCTGTTCATCTTTGATTTGGGCCTTCAACTCTTCAGAGACGCGCTGCTCATGGTGAAGTCGGAGGCGGGTCTCCTCCAGCACAGCCTGAAGCTGCATGATCTCATCGGTCACTGCATTGTCGGAACGACTTGGGTCGCACACCCAACTTGCAACGTCGGTGATCTTCGTCCACAGAGCAGCCATGCGGAATCTACGAATCTACAGTGTGTTGAAGAATCTGACACCTGTGCGAGCGACTCGGAAATCGCACTGCAAACTCAGCACCTCTTGGGAAAACGTTGCTGCGCACAGCCCCGGGCACTGAGACAGATGGAAAACCAATGCATGCCTCTAGAACCCTTTTGCACGGCCACTCTGCTCAGTTCGACTGTCCTCCCCTCCCCTCCACTCCTACTCTATTACTGGCAGGGAGTTCGGTCCTCCTGCTCGTTTCGACTCCTCTCTTTGCTGCCCTTCTGCTGCTTCGGCACCCAAGCGCCAATGCCAGCGGCCTTCGGTGCTGCACTCACCAACCCTCTTCTCCCTAGCCTCTTTACAAGCTGCGACGAGTTCCCATAAGACTCATAGGCCTCAGGGCTTCGGGCTTAGGGTTAAGGCTTCTCGAACATGGGAGGTCATGATAATTGCTACTACTACTACTACTACTACTACTACTACTACTACTACTACTACTACTACTACTACTACTACTACTACTAGGGCCTCCATTCCTGTCACGGCAGACATGCTATCTGTCAGCGAGTTAGCGCTCCCTACGAGGACAAGATGCCTCAGAATCAGAAAATAGTAGTAACAGTCTTCATCATAGTAGTTATTGTGGTAAGAATAAAAAGAATAGTGGTAAAAACCAATGCTTATATTTATACTGATAGTAACGAGAACATTAAGGGCAATTGTCGTAAAACTCCAGTAGTAATAGTATTGCTCGCCCAAGGAGCCGAAACCCTTCAAACCCTCTTACCTCTAATCCCTAAGCCCCAACCCCCAAAGCGACGATGCCAAATCCCGATGCTATGCCTGCTTCGCCAGGCTCGGGAGGACGGCATCTGATAGTTCGAGAGAAGGTCGCGTCGATGCCTCGGAGGACGCGGAGAGTAAACACAATAGTAAAAAAACACTACCCATAGAAATCATCAGTGTAAGAATAAGAACAATCATGACAACAATAGCAGTAGCAGCAGCAGCTGCAGCAGCAATAGCAGCAGCAGCAGCAGCTGCAGCAGCAGCTGCAGGAGCAGTAGCAGTGGCAGTGGCAGTAGGCGTAGCAGTAGCAGTAGTAGTAGTAGTAGTAGTCGTCGTCGTAGTAGTAGTAGTAGTGGTGGTGGCGGAGGTGGTGGTGGCGGTGGTGGTACTTAGTCTTCTGATGGATCTGATGGCTACGATCCTCACGTTGCTGATATTCGTATGAAATACATAGGCATGTATGTATATATGTATTGTATGTATGCATGCATGTAGAAACAAATAAGTAAATAAAAACTAAAAGAATGAATACATGAACGAACAGATAAACAAATATATATATATATATATATATATACACATACATACATCCCTCGCATTTTTTCTATGTGTATTCACATATGTATCTCATCTATAGATATATATATATATATATATATATACATACATACATACATATATATATATATATAACACACACACACACACACACTCAAGCAGAGTTGGTCTCATCCTTCGTTTGCCTTTATCGTCAGATCCCCTGGCGACGACCTGACCAGGCCCCGACCTTCCAGGGCTCCTTGGGAGCACTGCTCACATGCCTGCGGCAAGCATCCGCACTCAGCGTTAAGAACCTCGGGTTTAGAAAACAGGGGACCCTAATACAGTAGCCTAAATGGTAGGATCCTTATTGTATGGATCCCAAAATAAGCTACCCCTAATTTTCGAGTGTTGGGGGTTTGGGGGTTTTAGGGTTTGAGCTTAGGGTTTGGAGTTTTGGAGTTTTAGGGTTTCGGAGGCTCAAGATGAGAAGGATTTCGGACAATGGAGGTGAGGATTTACGATTGAGGTTTCTATACTAGGGTGCAGTAGCAGGACGTGCCCGCCCCAAGACCACCCGATCAGTATACTCACAGCAAGAGCAATTTTGTTTTTTTTGAACGCCTGCAGTATGGAAAAAGCAATTTTGGGCTTAGGGTTTAGAGCCCTGAAGCCGAGCTCTTTGCTCGGATCAGCAAGTGAAACCAAGGTCTGAGCTTGCGCAGGACTTTTTACCGACAAACAGGGAGTTTCCAAGAATTAGGGGTACCTTATTCTAGGGTCCTCATAATATGGATCCTACTATTTAGGGTACTATATCAGGGTCCCCTATTTTTCGGAAACCTCCAAAACGGAGGAGGATCTGGTGAGCTGGCTGCTTGCAGGGGCCGCCATTTCATGACACGGAAGGCCTCTTCTGCTGCACCGGCAGGCCAAAGGGCAAGCGCGTGGCCATGTTGGCCACATTGGCTCGAGTCTTTCGAGTCTCCCTGGCCAGACGGGAGGGTGCAATCTAGGCCAACAGCAGAGCGCAGCGAAACCTCACTGAGTCCTCACTCCGAAACTCCATGTCGCTCAGCGGCCATCACCTCCCACCATGCAGAAACAGGGAATGGGGTTGTGAAGCTTGAACCCCTCTCTCAGCATCCTCAAAATCCGGCCTCCTGGACAAGAAAGTATGGTAGTTGGTAGGAACACTGAAGATCCCTGCAATCCCTGGTCTCCACCAAAAAAATGCCCTTCCTGCCCTGCCTATCGCTGGGCACATGGATGTCACTGACCAGCTACAACAGGGAGCCGCCTTTGGCGGATGCTCTTGGCTGGTGGCTGGCACTGTGAGCAAGTCTTCCGGAGTCTGTGCATGAACGTTTGCTGCAACTATTGCGACCATGAACACGAACATGGTATCCTGAGCAGAAAGGCAGGCGAGACAAAGGGTGCGATCGTTGTCAATGCTGATTGCTCTGCCTGCTTTGCTCGTCCGCATGCTCTGCCTTTCTCGTCTCTTAGATGCAGGCTCGAAGCCATATGCTTACCATGTCTAAGCGGTGTAAGCAACCATGCACCGCAAGCCAGGCCGGCTCCAGAAAAAACAGCAACAGCTGCGCGCTCGCTCTGCGCTCGCTGCGCAGACAGGGGTTATACATTCGCTGCATCAGCGACGAGCAGGATGCCCGCAGCTCGGAAATCTTCTTGCTTCTGAGCACACACAGGCCCCGGGACAACAGACTGAGTTGAAACGCTGCTGCAGGGCCTCCAAAGGCTCCGTCATCTGTACTCTGTCACCCAGGCCATATTGTCAGAACTATTCGACTTGTCCAGTGTGCGCAGCTTGGCATGTACTTCCATAGCCTGACACTATGGCAAGATCCCCACAGGCGCACTCATGTTTTGCATGAAATGACGTTTGCAGCTCCCCCCCGCCCCCACCTCCAAGTCTGCGCTCTTAACTGCTTGCTCGAGCCCCTCCAAGAAGACCGCAATCTCCGTCGCACTCATCTTCACGCTCTCCTGCGCGGATAAGTCTTCTCCGGAAGATGGGGCCTAGGTTTGCAGCTCATGGCAACAATGGATGTGTCGTAAAGATGCTCGTGGTCGTGTCAGGATCGCCCTGTGCGTCCTTGGCCGTGAGATCCAGTATGACAGCGTACCCTTCGCCAACATGAAAGGTGGATGCCTGCGCAAACCGGAGAATTCCGAATTCAAACTGCAGTTTCAAGCCTTGCCTTCGTGAGGGCGAAACCGCTGTTTGTCAGTCGCTCTTGCGTGAATTTGACGACGGCTTCCGTGTGTTCCTCCTCGGCTCCTTGATTCTACGAAGCGGCACTCACAATTTTTCGAAGCCCCCGGAACGAAAAAGAGCTGCTTCTCCCAATGATATTGAGCCCCGAGTCGCTGTGGACCTTAAACTCTGGAGCTCCCCAAGTCCTGGCTGCCAAGCCACGCTTATCTGAGAGAACCCGGAGCTGCTCGAAGGCCGTGGACATCCAGCAGACGAGGACGTAGACGGCCAGCAACATGGAAGAGGCGGGATCCACCTCTCAGAGAAAAGGGGCGGCCAGGCGACTACCGGCATAGATCAGGGAAAGGCAGTTTCCGTGGACCTTGTCAAGCCAGTCGCCGCCCTGTCCGGTACTTCTGCAATACGCGCTGCCGGCCACGATCAGCAGCACCAGCCCGTTCCCCAAGATCTTGGCAGAAGCTGCTTGAGCGGTGTGCTGGACAAGACAATCATTCGAGGTTCCGGCATCGTTCCGGTGGTCCATGGACACTGTTCGGGCGATCTCGGAGTCCGCTTGCCTGCCAAACCGTCCGGCAATGAGAACCGTACCAGGCAGCAAGCACCCCAATATCAATAGTACCCTTGTCGCTTGTAGTACTTTTGTAGCACCGTCATAGTACACCAGTAGTACCCTTATAGTACCCGTGAAGTACCCTCATGGCAACCTTGCGGTACCCTTACAGTACCGTGCCTCATACCTGTAATACCTTTCTAGCACCTTTATAGTATCCTTAGAGTACCCTGTAGTACCTGTATAGCGCCCTTATAGTACTGTACTGTTCGGGTACCCTTGCAATCATTTCATGGTTTGTAGTGCCCTTGTCATGCTGTCGTAGTACCCTTATAGTACCTTATATACTACCTTAGAGTAGCCGTTCTTAATACCCTTATAGTAGTACCTTATATACTACCTTAGAGTAGCCGTTCTCGTTCTCAATACCTTTCTAGTACCTTATATACTACCTTAGAGTAGCCGTTCTCGTTCTCAATACCTTTCTAGTACCTTATATACTACCTTAGGGTAGCCTTTCCGGGGGGAGAAAGCCGCAGCCGCAGAAAGCCCCAGCGCTTTTCTCGGAGCCACCTCGCTGCGTAGAGGCAGAAGATCAGGAGGAAGGCCTGGCTCATCAGGGGAGCTCCCGTTTTCTTAGGGTTTAGGGTTTAAGGTTTAGGGTGTGGGGTTTAGGGTATAATTCTACACCAAAAGCCCTAGCGTCAGTCACCATTCTGGTACAGTTTGTATAGTTATACCCCAAAAGCCCTAATTATTCCAATTATTGGGCAGACCATGAAGAAACGGTGCTCGCCTTTCTAGCGAGAGAGATAGATACGAGTATGCCAGAAGAGGGTGGAGCACAGTTGCAAACCATCAGGGGGATCTATAGGAGATGATGTGGTTACCGTGTTATGGTAACTTAAACTGAATCCCTTAGCAAGAACCCAGAAGAAGGGCCTTGATAAGGATGCAGATAAAGAGCAGCACCACAAGGGAGTGCGGTGCCGCTTCTGCAGCGGCCTCCTGGAACGGTGGGGTCCTTCTTCCTGGGGTGTAGTGTGGGACTCCGGTTCATGCGATCTGGTCTAAGGCCTGGAATCCAAAACCGTCCAGATTCTACACCACGCGATTGGAAGCTCCTCCTCGACATAGCTCTCAATCATCTCCTCCAGCTGTGTCGAACGCAGGTGCTGGCGCAACCTCCGCGAGCGAGCTAGGCACGGAGACGACGGGAGGAGGCTCGGAAGTACGGCGCAGTGGGATGGAACAAGGACTGGGGCAAGGATTAAATGTAGAGATGATGCGCCTTCGAAGGTGGGACGGAAGCTCTGACCGAAGATTACAAATCCGCTGAAAGCCTCGACATGGCCGTGCTAAGAGCCATCACTGTGCTTCGCCCTCTACTGTAGAGTTTAGGGCTCGCACTCTTTGGATTTAGGGTTTAGGGGCTCGGGCTCTGCAGGATCCCCTCCTACAGAATCCAAGGCAAATGGCCTGGGCTGCTCATCGAAGAGACGTGTTAGCAGCTCCCTGCGCTCCTCTCACATGGCAGTGTCGGTGTGACAAAGCTTTTGGAGGGCCCATGAAGGTCTTAGACTTGCAGCTCCCTTGTGGTCAATAAAGGACCCCATGTTCTGCTGGAAACTTTGATCTGCTGCGGTGGCCATGATGCTGAAGGTCGACAGCCTGCAGAAATTCCTGTTTAGCAAGAGTGGAACACAAGCCGAGCATTCTCGACGAGGCATTCACGACTCCTGATGCTGACTATCAGTGCGCCCTTTGCCCCTCCGCACCTCCTCCTCGGAACTCCTTAGAGAAGTACCCCGTCACTTGTAGCTTTGCACTTCGATGAGCTTAGGCGTCTGAGGCTTTGGCCCGAAGAGCTTCTCGATATTCTCGATAATGAGGCTGATCATCGTGGACACCGCGAAAGCCGAGAAGAACAGAATGCCGAGAGGAGTGAAACGCTTCTTGCCCGTCGGGTACAAGTGCATGTCACTCTGATCTCGAACTCTCATCTGCGTCACAGCTAAAATCGCGCTGCTCATAACATCGCCCAGGGATTCAAACACGGAGGCTTTAATCAGCTCACTCCCAGACATGAAGTAGGCAACACCTGAAGTGAACAATAGAATCAAGCAGCGTAGATGCTCAACTCAACTCAACTGCGAGGCTCGGGCATTTGATAGCAACGAGGCTCACGCCTCACGGAGTTTTACGGCCAACAGACCAACTGACGGATCGCACTGCCTTGCCTCCAAGCCAGAAGGACAGGCTGATGGCCAGGCTGGCCAGCCGGGCTCGCGCCTTCAAAGCCGAAAGCAGTCCAAAAAGGTTCAGGGTTTAGGGCTTAGGGTGTAAGAGATTTTGCTCGGGGGTGCCTTTGCTGAAAGCTTTGTCATCTGGCGGCGCGCCGGGCATAAGTCAGCCCAACAGGCTACAACTCCCCCTTGAGATCACAGGTTCGGGAAATGATGATCCAAAGCTTTGAGGAATGCGGAGTCAAGCCAGCCTTAGGAGGTGTAGCATGGTATAGTTAGTATAGTTCAGTATAGTGTAGCGTAATTGCAGCGTAATGTATTCTATTCTAGTCTAGCCCAGCCTAGTCTAGCACAGTAGCTGCCCTAGTCTGTGATACGATACGAGACTGGGACTAGACTACTAGACTATGCTGAACTAGACCAGTAGACTAGACTATGGCAACTATAGGATACTACTGGTACGTATCACAGCATACGATACTGTAGCACAGAATTTGGCTCGGCAGTTTGTTGTACTTCCGTAAGCTAGCGCCACCCTGCGCAAGGTCTGAAGGTGCACCCTTCACTCAGTGAAGGGCACAAGATGCGTCACCAGATCCAGGACAGGCAGCAAGATACCACGACAGCAAATCCAACGACAATGGCAAAGGCCGCGAGTACTGCATAGTTCGAAGAGATGCTCCTCCTCTCTGCTCGCCAAACCCACAGGTACATTGCACCTGGAATGCAGAAGCAGCCTAGCACCCCACAAGTTCCTCCCAGAAGCCCCAGGATGCTCGAAAGTGTGCTCAGCCACTGCGCCAGGCATGCCGCCCCGAAGAGCAGGATGGGCATGCCAGCGACGTTTCGCCATACATTCAAAAGGGGACTGCTGCCACCATTGCTACCCGAAGCCTTCACATCCCGCGAGGTGAAGAGGACCATGGTGTCACAAACCAGGCTGTGCAATGGCATAAGGATCAGGGGCATCCGAAGTGCATTGGTGAAGCTTAGAACTCCTCTTGCAAGCTCCATGATTGAGTTGCCTTGAAACTCAACCAAGATGTCCTCAGGCGTGTCTGCGCCGAAGAGTGAGACGCCGGCCAAAGAGACGAGAACGTAGCAGACTGGAAGGACCCCCAAAAACACCACGTGGATCACGCCATAGATCGACTCCCTGTGCTGAGGTTTCAGCTCGGCGGCCATCTCCATTACACTGAAGTGCCCGCCGGCCAGGGCGGAGGCCAGGATCGGCGAAGCCATCAAAAAGCCCTGCATGGAGGCCGCCTCCGAGGCGGGACGCGGGGGAGGCTTCTCGGAGCGATCTGCCAAAGCGTCCTGGCCCAAGGCCACCATGAAGGGCACCAGGCAAAGCAAGGCCGCACCTGAGGTGAACCTCAAGGCGTGGTAGCTGCCGGAAAAGCAGGCAGCCAGCACAAAGACATTTACTATCATGCTGAGCCCCAAGGGCGACACATGACTGAAACCGCACATGGCTTCCATGAAGATCGGCAGAAGGTCAAGCACGACCCGCTGCATGGCTGTCAAGGCCAGGAACAAGACGGAGATCAGCATCAGCTGAAAGCAGCCCGAGCCATTCTTCCCAAAGAGACTCTGCATCAAGGAGCCGAAGGTTGAGACTCCCAAATGCCGCCCCAAGCGTATAAGCAGAATCAGTGTGACGTCCGTCGTCACAGCAAGAATTCCGAGCAAGAGGATGCAAAGCACCGGCCCGCAGCATGCAAATGCATGCGGCAATGTCAGCAAGCCTGTGCCCATGGAAGAGGCCGCGAGATTCAGAGCCGTGGACAGGGGCGTACCCGAGCCACCTTTCTTCCCGTTGGAGCGAGGAGGCTTCTCCTCTTGCAGGAGTGGCCTTTGCATCTCCTTGTCCATGGCAGCCGCGGGCCGGCAGGGCTTCAGCTGCAGCACATGTTCTCCTTGAGGTGCTGGGAACACACCAGGGAAGCTGCGGAATGCTCTTCGATGCGTTTGCGCGCACAAGACAGGGCAAGGACAGTGCAAAGTAAGCTGCCTCGCTCTTCTTTGCAAGAGCCAGGCTGGCGATCTCTTCATGTGGCTAAGGGCAGCAGCTCCCCACACAGACAATAACACGGAAAGAGTGTTTTACTAACATCCAAGCAGGAATGGGCTGGACTCATGCTACTAGCATCTCTGAAACGAGGGAGCTCAACCACAGAGCTTGCCCCTTTTCTCTCGCAGATAGAACAGCAGCTCTCGCCTCCCAACGGTGTAAGATTCCCATATAATTACACTTGTTAGTATCGTTACAACTATTACTATGAGTATGATTATGATTATGACTCTTGTTATTTGTACTACTCTTGTATTAGTCTGCTTTCTTCCCGATGCCGCGGAGACCTTCAAGCTCCGCTGCTCTGATCGGGGACATTCCTGAGCACCACGCCCCATGTACAACGCCTGGACTACAGTTGCCAGCCGATCCTGGTACGCTCTGCTCACGGTCAGATTCTGTGCTGCTCTTGAAGAGAGAATGACTCGCGCCGTGAAGCCGGACGCTTCGGGTCCTTCAAGAGGACTCTCACCACCGCCCGTAATCGAACTTGCCGAACTTGCCAAACTTGCCTCCCCCCTTCCTCAGAGATCGCCACCAAGTCAGCGAGCACCATGAAACAGAGCTAGCGGCAAACACTTTGTCCCCAGCTTTCCGCCGCCTTTCCCGAATCCGCCCTGCCAGAGCAAGGCAGGCTTCAATGACTGAAATCGAAAGATGTCTGATACTTTCCAACCCTCTGCACGACATAGTGCTCTTATCCTGGTTCTTCTTGTGATGACGAAGATGGTTGTTGTAAGCTTTCTAGACTGCTGTCGTGATCATCCTTACCATCAAACATCATGCAGTCTTCTGCTGCCGACATTTGCTGTCGTTCAGTATTCTTGTTATGTCGCTATTCTCGACGAGCTTGGTCAGCACTGCTGGTATCATCCCTTTAACTGGTTTCACGCTTTTGATGATGTTGAGGATAAATTCCCGACGACAATGGCACTGTTGATGGTGAGGATGATGATGATGATGACGATGAGGATGATGACGATGAGGATGACGAGGATAATGAGGCTGATGAGGCTGATCATGATGAGGAGGAGGGAGAGGACTAGGAGGAGGAAGAGGATGTGAACGAGGACAAGGGATGACGATGAAGACGAATATGAGCATGACGATGACTATGATAATGACAACTACTACATGACGATGATGACAACGATGATGATGATTATGATCATGTCGGCGACCACGAGGACATTTTTGGAGACTGTGAGTGTGATGACGGTGCTACAGGGCATGGCGACGATCGTGACAGAGTCATAGGCTCGACCAGGGTTCATAGTTGTCAGGAGGGGCCCTAACAAGTGCTAGCACTCCATTCTCGCCAACATCATCTTCGTCAATACCACCAGCATTATGTTTATGTCTTCTTAGTTGTTTCTCCTCCTCAAAGAGTAAAAACGAGAAAAACACATAATTCTTTGTCCTCCTCCTCTGAGGCGGATAGAGGCGAGGCGGGCCTTGCCCTTCCAGTCGCCGCCCATGGGGCCGCCCATGGGGGGACCAGGTCTCGGCAGAGGCGAGGGCTCTTTTAGGGCTTCAGGGTTTAGGGGTTCAAGGCTTTCGCGGTTTAGGGCTTTAGGGGTTTCATGAGTTTAGGGATTTAGAGGTTTCAGGGTTTAGGGGTTCAAGAGTTTAGGGGTTTAGGGGTTTAAGAGTTTAGGAGTTTTGGGGGTTTAGGGGGTTTAGGGGTTAGGGAGTATCTGGTTATCTGATTCTGCATTCAGACCGGCTGAGTCACGGAAAACTGAAATGCTGGTTGTGTCTTCGTCAATCGTCGAACTGATGGTTAATCATGCAATGGCCATTAGTCTAATCTATGGATTGTCTCTGCGAGTAGTGTTTAGTAATTCCTTCCAGATACATGACTTAGTGAATACAGTACTGAAGATATGTCGTTATGATGCCTATATCTTATTGCGTTGAGGATCTATGCTGCTAGGAATAGTTATGCGACAGACAACAGCACAATGCCATAAACTTGCTCGCTGTAGCAGGCCAGGCTACCCTAGTATCAAATCATCATGTGCTTCTACCCTGCTACACCGCTACCTTTTGAAAAGATGTTTGTCTGGGAATGCCATCCCGCAGCGGTGTCGTGTCTCACGCTTTTCGATTTAGAATGATCCTCGTAGATATTAATCCCAGCACGTACTCATGTTCTCAAGCAGCTGCATGGCTGAATCAACCCACTGTCTTAATGCTGTGGAATCATGCTGTCATGCATCTACGGGGGATCGTATGATAGCACTCTACAATAAGACTAGTTCTGACCTACATCATATATGAATATCATCATGCTGCCTGAATGAGGCCCAAACTCCTCGGAAAGGCTACCTTACACTCAGGCGCCAGCGGCGGTGGCCCAGCTCCTCCGGGGCCTGGAAAAGGAGGAGGTCCTGAAAGATGCAGGGTTAAGTCATAGGGACCCTTAGGGCTGTAACGGTTTTTTGTTTTTTTTTGAGGGCCCTTTTCCTTCTTGCTACAGTCGGAATACCTGTTAGGTGGAGCCAGTTTGAAGGACACCCGAAAGCCGAGGGTTTTGCTAAGTCAAGGGGTACAGGCTTCATACTACTGTTCAGGAGGCAGGTGTCACGAGTGTCCTTCGGGCTTGCAACACGCAGCTACAAATTAAGACTTGCGGCTTCCGGAATAGGGCCTGAAAGGGATCCCAGCCTGCTTCAGAAAGTACTGCAAGGGAAAATAGCAGGTCTGTAACCCTACAACTTCCAGGCTGTAACGGTTTAGGGTTTAGGGTTCCGGGTAGGGGGAGGGGGGGCAGGGGGACTTAATGCCCATATATCGGGTCCCTATGGTTCAGTTTGTTCGACCAGCGAAAACCTCAAAATCGTCATCACGGCATGGTCCCCATATCCGTCAAAACCACAAGAGCAAGCTTGCATAAACATCCGAAATGGCCACTTTGCCAGTTGACGTTGGTTGCGGCTGCCACGACTAAAACAGCCAGCATAATCATGATCCTACTGCTCATCATCATCATCAACCGGACCATCACCAGAAGTGCGCAGCAGAGCTCGGCTGGTCAGCTTTGCGGCTGGCCTGGCGGTCCGGGCCCCATGGGTGGGGGCATGTGACCTTGCTTTGGGACGCGTCGCAACAGACTTCTTAGGCAGCTCGGACACTGCCCCGGAACCTAGTGGATCTTCACGCGGGAAGTCCTCCTGGACGAGGGGCAAGGCTGCAATATAGGGGCCTTAACAATTAGAATTGCATTTTGGGGCCCATTATACCATAATTATAATAAGGAACCCCCAACATAGTAGAGCTAATTACTTAGGCCCCTATATTACTTCGTCTTCCTGGCAAAACGATTCACGAAGCGACAGCAGAACCTGGGAATCTCATTGTGTCATGAATGTTCGTAACTACAGCCACAGCTGCGCAACAACAACTCCAACGAAATGGGGGTCAAAGAGTCACTATGGACTGGTGTTTGTACCACTGACGAACTGTGAGCTCAGGCATCATTGTGCCGTGAAGCTGGTATATTACTACCACCTAGTTGTGCGGCTGGGCTGTTCTAGCTTAGAGTACACACGTCTGTGAGGACAGTCAAGGTTTAATTTCAGCATTAATGGGTGGGAATAGCTGCTAATGTGCTGATACAATCTTTACTCTGTTCCTCATATGCTACCGTCACGGTGCACTTTCGAGTGGTTCGAACGATAGACTGTTGTGAACACTAGAGGTGACCTGGCCTGTCTCTCCTTTTTACACCGGTATACTTTCGTGTTTTGCCAGTAACCTGACAATAACGCACATTCTTTCACTGAATCACCTGACGATGCAGTGCCATTCTCGTTGCTGTTACAGGCGTGTTTTGGCTGCTACTCACCTGACATGGATTACCCTTGGCAAGAGTGCGATGCGTAAGAGGACATATACCAGCTTGAAATGAAAGCGTTGGATCAATGCTAGTATTACGGTATGTTCTTCATGTTGCTTTCGCATGATACTAAGACTGTCCTTTTGCGTCATCAAGACATGTTTTCTGTACTAATCATATGCCAGATAACTGGTCGTATTGACCTTACAATAATCCTAGTGCAGTGATCTCATTCTTGTATAGCATTCTACATTCTTACTTGCTTTTGAACGCAAAGACGGAACTGTCATCCTGAATGCTGACTCTTTGTCAAGCTATCTCGCCCTTGCACTCTGACATTGCTTCACCTCCATTCAGCCCCGACAGTGGCTCATCGATTCTTGAAGCTCACGGCCGGCCTGCTTTGGCAATGCGCGGGGCTTCGGTTCCAGAAGCGCATTGATGAGCTCGTTCTCCTGCGAACACTCGCCCGGGATTCCGGCGGCTTGTGTTCCATGCAAAGCTTTGCGTGCAAGGGAGCTTCCCAAGTTGCTTCCAAGCAAGGCTCTTCGAATCCGAGCGCTTTGCAGTTTAGGCCTCGGATCCTGGTATCGTAAAGTGATTAAAGTGATTGGCGGATCTCATGCATCTCACCTTGTCCAAATTCTATGATGCAAGTATGCCAGGGATGAGCAATGCACTACCAAAGTGCACGTGCTGTGATCGGCTGGTCTGCCAGGATGCATGATTAAAATGGCGAAACAAACGGCCTGCACTGTCCCTTAACCCCAACAGCTTCAAACAACCCTCCTCTTCACGGCTTCCGCCGTCTTTCAGCTTCGAAAGCAGCTCCTGCGCCACCTCTTGGGGGATGCCGCAGCCAGGACATGAGTCCGTCAGTTCAGGCACTTGAAAAGGAAGCGAAGGCGACGGCAAGAGCCTAGTCTGTTGCACATCAGAGCATTGTAAACGGAGCCACTGCCTCGAAGCTGGCATACTGGAAATTCAGAGGAACGCTGCCAGGCTTCCGCTCCTGCTCAGCCGACTCTGCCGCCCTTTCAGGCCGCAGCGCTCAACGGCACATACACACATGTGTATATATATATATATATACATATATATATATATGTAACAGATATGCATATGTAATATATATATATATATATATATATATATATATATATATATATATATTTATTTATTTATTTATTTATTTAATTTTTTTATATATACACATGTAACAGAACTAGCTGTTTACATTGCTTACATACTTGAATTTAACGAGATACGTATTTGAGCATGTACTTGCACGTTTATTACTCGTTCGTTAGTCAAATAGCCAGTCAGTTCGTTGGGTTCCTTGGTTGGCTGGTTGGTTGGTTGGCTGGCTGGCTGGTTGGCTGGCTGGCTTAGCCAGTCAGTTACTTAGTTGCTTAGTTGCTTAGTTAGTTAGATAGATAGGTCAGTCAGTCAGTCAGTCAGCCAGACAGCCAGGCAGGCAGTCAGTCAGCCGGCCAGCCAGCCAGGCAGTCAGTGAGTCAGCCTGTTGCTTAGTTAGCCATTCAATGCTGGCTAGTCAGCTACTTAGCTAGTCAGTTAGTTAGCTAGTTGATTGGTTAGTTAGTCAGTTAGCCACTTAGTAAGTTAAATACGTCGTACTCAGACATTGGAGAGAGCCGCCTCGGCCACCAGGTTCGCTAGCGCAGCGATGACCTGGCAACCGATTCAGGTTTAGGGTTTCGGGTTCAGGGTTTGGGGCTTGAAAAGGGTTTGTGAACTCCAACCCACCTTCAAGACGGCACTGAGTGCTTCGGAGCTTTAAGTTCAAGGTTTCAGGAATCAGAGTCCTTCTGGTACGTCGAAGGACACCTTCGTTAGCGTTTAGGAACACTTTCACACAGATAATGCATCCTTGGAAAAAGGGTCGCTCGGGACCAGACCTGTTCAGAAGGTCAATGCCCACGACTGTTCTAGAAGGAACAATTAGGAAATTGCGCTATCAGAGACAGCTTCTTCCACGTTCCTTCCCAGCAGTCCCGCCTGTTCACCGAAGCTGGCAGCGAAGCCGTCTACCTGGCACAGTCCGCACTCCGATAAACGCCCTGTGCACTGCGTCAAGGGTCTCAGTCTCAGTCTCGCCTGGAAGTTCTTGTCTTCGGGCGCTGCACGCTCCAAACCGGCCGCTGCTGCGTCATCGAAGTTGGGGTCCTCCATAAGAGCTTGCATGCCCTCAGCAAGGTCGCCACGAACAGCGGCACCTCAAGCGGGGCGACCAGCACTTCGACGCCATTGCTTCTGGCTTTGAAAACCTTGGCACACACAGCATTTGGAGTTTCTCGGAGGCTGAACTCAGCTGAGTCAGCCGAGTCGTGCTGCGTTTTCAGACTACGCCTCGGACGGAAGGAAAGCGCCGCAAGAACGAGGCAGTGCCTGCCAGCTTCCCCTAGCTTCCTTCCAGGCAGCTTGACGCAAGGCCCCTTTCTTCCCCGGCCTGACTCACCCATGGCTCGTGCATCAAAGCGCAGCCTCCAGTAGCGCTCGAACTCCTCACATGGGTGGTTGTCAAAATTATGGTCCCTTTTTGGGTCCCTACTCCAATCTTTTTTTTAGGGTACCCAACAAGGGACCCTAATTTTGACAAAAACCCACATAGCCCCCAGTGTCTTGGAGACCAAGGTCCTCCTCGAGGGCTTGGACGGGCGCCTTCAAGAACAGAGGCTCCACAACACACCACCATGCACCAGCTCTACTTTTGGAGGTTCAGGGGTAGTTATAAGTAAGGTTATAAGCCCTAATATGGGTTATAAGTATTATAGTTGCCCTACTTATAACCCCACTTATAACCACCAATGAACCTCCGAGTACACTATTCTACACCTCTACCCTTCCCCACGCAAGAAGAAAAAAACCCTTGCCTCCTTCCCGTTTGGCCCAGCAGCCGCATCGGGCAAGGAGTCGACGATTCTCCTGATAGCCCACTGCAGCCCACGAGAACCTAAGACCTATCCGCATCCACCGCAGCCTAAGACATTGATGCAGCCCACGAAGGAGCTTCTCGAGGCCTCACGCAACAAAGAGAGTGAGACTCGGGATGAACTCTGCAAGAGGCTCCCCGCTGTTGGCATCGAGGCCCTTCAGCCGCCGCCGCTTTGCTGGCCTCTGTGCCTCCCAAGGACAAGACTGCTCACGTGCTCGTCATGCTACGAAACAATACTACATCCCGTGACATGTACGGACGTTGCAAAGTTCAGCAATTCCGTTCGCTTCTTCTGCCGTTTCACCAAGCGGCCTGTGAAGGCGGATGATGTGGAGGATGCTCTCCCGGAGGCATGGCTTCATGCATCATCTTGGCGAAGGCGGGAGCTTGGGAACAGCTAGGGGCACGAAAATACTCCGCATCCTCGACCCCCATTCATGAATCGAAAAAGACCGCAGTCGAAACAAGTCTGCATAGCAAACCTGACCGGCACTGAAGGGGCCTGCATGGCGGCAAATGCGGGGACCGGCAATTCACGCTAGAAGCAACCCGCCGTGGTTTCTGAGAGAATGTCCTATAGGTGACCTCCGCATGGCATCAATAGACGACCCTGCACTGCCGTGGGCCTGTGGGCTATCCACATGGTGCTCTGCATCCTTTGCTAACATCCCTTGAGCGGCCAATGGACCACGCCGCAAACAAGCTTAGAAAACAAGGTTGCGCCAACCAGGAGAGCGCAAGCAGAGTGCAAGCCTGACCATGTCGTCGCCGGCCCTACATGCTATGGCACTGGTTTTGACTTCGTCGGGGCGCACAAGACTCCTGCCGGCTAGCATCATGACCTGAGCTCGAGACGGGAATCGGACAGTATTGGATTCAGCTGTGCTCTTGCGATACCCTACAACACCGCTGCTTGCCTTGTCTTGCTAAGCGATTGGTCGAGCGATTCGTAGCTGGGCGCAGCTTTGCTGCATCTGTCCAGACTAAGCCTACACATCGGAATAGAAAGGGAAGACTGCACTGATCCCTAGAAGTTCTGCATCTCGGTGATGGTCCGTGCACCCCGTTGATAGTGTGTCCTCACCTGCGTGTTCGCACGCAGGCTGCCGGCACCGGCCAGGAAGTGAAAGAGAGCCGCGGCCTGGCAGGGAAGGGCCCAAAGTCGCGTTCGGGGGAATCCTAATAGCAATAATGAGAATACTGATACCAATAACAGTAATGAGAATACTAATACCACTAACAATAATGAGGATACTAATGCCAATAACCGTAATAGCAGCAGCAACAGCAACATTATGACATCATAATGCATTAGGATACATCTAATCTGGGGGGTAACGGAGGCTCCGAGAGAAACGAGCCGGTGTGGCGAAATAGGAAAAGGCGATGCCGAACATCGGATCCACTGCATCGGAGGAGTCATCGAAGATAAAGAGCCCACAGCACACGCCAAGCCCCAGACCAGCCCCAAAGGTGGCAACGATGAAGAGCAAGCCCGAGCAACCGATGATCTTTGTGAGGCTTGAAATCCCACCCATGTGCTGGGCTGCTCGAGTGTGGATCCGCGCTATCGCCATGCCTGCCACGCTCTGGCAGACCATGGACACCATAAGCATCCAGCAGAAAAGGTAGCCAGCACTGCAAAAGCTGGCATTCTCGCGCACGAAGCCACCCAAGGTCTCTGTCACGTACATCACCGCCAGGATGAGGTCTCCGATGGCCATGCCGACTTTCGCGAGGGCAAAAGCAAGCACCCACCATGCCACGACCATCCTGGAAGGCGTCGACAAATGCTTCTGTACCATACAGGCAGAAGCACTGATGATCACTTGTGCTCCGCACATGGCAAGGGCCAGAAGCCCGTCGACACCAAAGCCGAAGCCGATGCCGAAGTTCACGTGGCAGACGGTGGACACCGACAGGCCCACCAGGAGGATCCCGTAGAGCATGGATGCCCAGGAACCTTTCACAATCCACCTGCCAGGACAAGGCTGCAGCAACTCACAACAGCTCAACAAATCTCTCCGCAAGTAAGGAGAAGCCGAGGCATCAGAGAAAACGGCCACTCCCACAACATGCAGGTAAAGCCTGTCCACCATGCTGTCCACCTCGTTCTGGCGGTCACAGGCCTCCCATTCGTCAGCAGGGTTTCGGGCACTCGCTACCTGCAGGACCAGACCTGGCCTCCAGAAGCTGACCGTAGTTCGAGGAAGCCGAGGTTTCGCCGAGCGTCACGGCCGGCTTAGGTCCTCCCGCAGTCGTGAGTCAGCGAGAGCGAGAGTGCGGGCACGGGGGAGGACAGAAGTTTACCGCGGTTGTTGTTTGGATGGGGGGCATGTTTTCGGGGCGTGATTAACCTTAGGACAAAGCGAAGTCTCCCTCGCCTTCTTGACAGCCCGTCATGCTGTAGATGAGGCAGCCGAGGCAGAGGAAGCCCAGGCCCAGGAAGGATCCCTGGAAGGTCTGATTGTTGTACCACCAGCAGCGAGTCCGCTTGAAGAAGCAGGTCATGTAGTTCTGGAGATACGTGGCGTTCACATGGAGGCTGTTCTCATTGTCCAAGGCCGAGTTGTTGAACTCCCAGTTTAGGAAGTCCTCGGAGACCTCCTGGCCCTCCTGGCACAGGCAATGGAGCTGTGTGTTGCAGGAGATGTCGATGAGACCCTTGGACTTCAGCGGCGCAAAGAGGGAAGACAGCCATGGGATGCCCCTCGCCGAGTAGTTCGGTAGGAACTCAACACCCAAGGCAGCACAATCCTCGTCCAAGCACCAGTTGTCAGGCTCGGAGAGGGCCCATCCGGCTAGGGGGTACTGACTCCCGTTAGCATCCGGCTCGAAGCTAAAGTTGCTGCCGTCGACCCAGGTCCAATCACCGCTTTCGTTGACGCCCCTCTCGAAAAGACCTACATAAGCCGGTCCCTGAAACTCCTGTGTGAGATTCACCAGGAAAAACTGTGTGTCGATGTCATGGATCACTGCCAAGGTCGCACCCAAACCGCTGCATATCCGGTCCTGGCACTGCGTCATGCTCCCCTTCTCCTCCGTGAAGATGTAACATTTTTCATTGAAAGACCTGAAGCCCTCAGGGCAGCCAGCTGCAGACCTTGCAACTGCCACCAGCAGCCATATCCACTTGGAACTCATGCTCCGATCCTTGAGCATCTTCAGCTGAGGGACGACCCGAGGTGCAAGCGTGCAGGGAAACCAACGGCTGCGACTTTTTTCCCTACCTTCTGAGGGAGACTTGAGAGCGCGGCGCCACGTCTCCGCATAGTAGCACGGTGCTGTATCTGCCATGAGACAGGGTCCGGAATCGCATGACATGCAGCGAACCGTAGAAGATCGAAGCCAGCACAAGGCCCACACGAGGCGATGCAGGTCACGAGCATCCGCAGAAAAGCCTGCAATATAGGGGCCTTACTAATTAGAATAGGGTTTTGGGGCCCACGACACTATCATTGCAATCAGGAACCACCAGAAGAGCACATATTGGTAATTATTTGAAAGATGCTTCGACCGCTACCCGCTACCAAACTCTTTTTCTCCGAGAACCCTGATCGAGCAAGAACATTATTCCGCCTTCCGTCCTACTTGGAGGCCCAGAAAACTTCGCAAGCAGGTTCTAAGTAGGGTTACGGTTGGGTAACTCCATTTAGGTACTTATAACCCTATTTATAACCTTATTACTAAGTCCTTCGGGCCTTCAAGCAAGTGAAGCCAGCTACTTTTGAGGACTGTCCATGCTCTGGGATGTTTGTGATGGAAAAGCTCCTGATGCTTGCTGTGTTGGGAGTGCTTTAAATGTCTTGGGCAAGGCCAAGAATTTTCCAGGACCACCCTCAAAACCCTTTGTTTATTTGTTTCTCCCTCCACTTCCCCAACATTCTACACGATAGTATTCGGCCCCGCATACCTCTCACGCGCAAAGACTCATGTGACCTTGCCTGGATGTGTGACCCTCTCCCAAAATCTCGAGCAACACTCTACACACAAAAAATGTCGCATCCATATCATCCCACAGCTTTGTGCCCTGCTCTCAACCCTAAACCCCCTAAACACCTAAACCCCTAAACCCTGAACCAAGGCAAAGAGCCTGCCCACATCCGAAAAGTTGTGGCCAACATGAGTTGCCAGCGCGTCTCCTGTAGCGAAGCGGGGAAGAAGACTCCTTGCTGACTCTGAGGACTGAGGTTGATTGTAATAACAAAAACTTAAGAAGAGCAATAATAAGAACGATAACAACAGTAGCAATATTGACAAAAAACTAACAATAACAACAGTAACAAGATAAAGGTAGCAAAAATGGCAATACTAATGATAAGAATAGCAACAGTCATACTTATGATGGGAATAGTAATAGTCACAATCATAGCAATAATAACAGTGGCAAAGTGAATAATATTGGCAGCAACAACAACAATATCCATCATCACCATAATCTTTACGAGCAGCTCTACATCAGCTTCGCTCCGGGCCGCAGCTACTCGTGATCAGAGCAGAACTTCCCCGCGCCTCGGACTCGGAGACTGGGAGGATCCTGCAGAGGACACGAAGAGAAGTCGCTCCACGAGCAAACGAGCAAGTCGGACCTTTGGCTTTCCGTGGCACTTTGGCACCAGGGCTTCCGCGAGGCATTGAGCGCCTCTTCAGGTTCTGCGAACTTCGATGCGAGTTCCAGTGAGCGCGGCTTGCCTGGGACCGCCAGGCATGCAAGACTTCTCTGCCACCTGGCAGCAAGGCAACGCTATGCTATCGTCGAATCGCGAGACACGGCGGTGGGTCTGCCTCGTCGGGTGGATCTCGCTGTAGTCCGGCCAAGGACCCTGAAGATGCCAAGTCAGCGTTTCTGTGTGTGTGTGTGTGTTTGCGCAGTGTCCAGGTGAGCACCCGCCTTGAGATGCAACAGGCTGGTCTCTTGGAAGATTTGCACATGTCCTGAGTGCGTTCGTGCGCTTTGCGGCTTGAGGTTCTGCACGATTGAAATGACAAGGCGATCGGCACACTGCAATCAGAAAGCATTCGAGGACGAGGGGTATCCGGAAGACTTCAGCTTTGCGAAGCCCTTCCACTGGAAACGTCCAGGACGGAAGACGACTGACCCCGCATCTCCTTTGCAAACCGTTGAAGTTGAAACGAGTATTGGACTTTGGTTACCCGTCACTCCGTGGGATCAGAGGACACTCCGAGGAGCGGTGGGGCTCGTCAGGGCAGTCGGGGAGCATTTTGCAGCCACTTCTATCCTCGTCGCTCGTTCTGTTGGTGTCTGTTTTGTGGGCAGCATCGATTCGCGGCTCCATTTCTCGAGACATGCCGTCTGCCACCGTTTGCCCTTCGGACGGCTAGGCTTGATTTCCGGCCCAGTGAGTGACACTGCCAGCTTTCCTGCAATATGCTCTACTAAGCGGCCTGTCATGTGCGTGGCAGATCGACCAAACTCGACTTGGGGCAATGCTGTGGCGTCTCCTTGTCGCACCATGGCTCCCCATCTTTTCAGGACCAGGCGCACAAGAGCCTGGGGCCGTCATGTGAACGTGCATAAAGCCTTTATGCTTAGATTACGGAAGCCAGATTCGAGGTCAGAGCCGTCTGACTCGGTCGAAAACAAGGGAGCGCAATTCCCACAGATCGCCTGGTGAGAGAGCAAGCTCGTTCCCTCTTCTACTGTTACTGCCACTACTACTCCCGCTACTGCTGCTGCTGCTACTACTGCTACTACACCACCTGGCCTTGCTGCATGCGGGGCATGCACGGCTTCCTGCAAAGGAGAAGGGGGGCAGTTAGCCGCAAAACAGGAAGCTGCCGCGCTGCGGACAGCTTGAGAAACTCTGCATGGAGCTTTGAAGACCACTGCGATTCTGTGTCGCCCTCCCCTTCCAATCCTCAGCGCCTAAGAGCACGGGGCCGAGACATGGACCAAGCCAACAGGGCCTCAACGGCGGAACTTGGGCCTGGACCATGGAAGCCACAGGGCGCGCGGTTCCGTTGGTGCTTTGAGTTGCCGGCGCGCAGAACCTGCTTGGAGACCAGGCGGCAAGGAATGCTGAAACTCTGCTCTCTGGCCTTCAGAACATGTCGTCGCGCGGCTTGTTGCCGCAGCTCAAGCTCCAAGTTCTGTTCTCGAGGGGTCTCGAAAAGCTGCGACTTCTCGAGGTCCAGGCACTTGGAGGGAGAGCCGCTCGCTCGATCGCGAGGCTCGTAAGGAGTCTGGAGCAGCGATCGGCTTGAAACCGGGGATGCCGAGTCGACCAACCGCGTTGCAGAGGCGGGTGGGCACTTCTGCGATCCTTCCTCCGCAAAGATCGGACAGCTGTAAGTTGCTAGTTTGAACTGCATGCTAGCAACTGAGGCTGTGTCTACTGCATCTTCGCATAGCCAAGAGGACCAGCATGCCTCTCAACCCGACTGCAATGCTTCCGGACGAGGTGAAGGTCATGCTTCTCCTGGCCTGCAGAGAGTCCAGAGTCCGGGAGATTTTCTCCGCGGTGAGCATAACCTCTTTCTCGAAGCCTTCTGCAGGGACTCCGTCGCATGCGCCCTTGTCAAAACAGCGTCTTTAGAGAAAGACGTGATGGCGGCGCAGTCCATCGCTCGGCTGCCAGCATTGGCCGCAGCTTCCGAAGGAGTTGGGCTGCAGAGGATCCCTGCCACGATTAGATGACCGGGAAAGCGCGCCTGATACCATGAGAGCGGGTGAGGATAAGGGCCTCCGAGGGGGCGGCGGCCTCCCAACCTAAGGTCTCTGCTGTGGGCTCTGACCCTGGGATGTTAGTGCCCCCAACATTGTGCATGACTCGTATGACTCTTTCTGGGCTTTCACACTGACTCTTACAGCATCTCACCTCTTCAGAACCCTCTCTTTTTTTACGTCGCCATATGGTACGTCAATAGGATCACCAGTGACACGGCCCATGCCTTTAAGGCAAAGAGTTCCCACGCTTTACTCTAGCACTCCGCGGGAGACCAACCCTAATATATAAATGTCTGAACGTATAGATGCATAGGTATGTGTATATATATGTATAAAAAAATATATATGTATATATATATATATGTTTATGGAAACATATTTACACATATATATATATATATATATATATATGTATATGTATGTATCTATCTTGATGTATATGTGTGTGTGTGTACTTTTGAGGGTCTAAACTAATGTGTTCGGCACGTCTAAGGACGCTTCTAGGCTGAAAGTTCGACAGCACGGGCATTATATATAAATGTCATTGCAAATTTCATGACGCACCGCCGACCTTGTCAAGGCGGATTCTCAATTACTGCAAAAAGGCCATGCCGCGACAAGGAAATGTGTACCGGCAGACAGAATCTGAAACAAGCGACTTCTTGTCCACAGACAGCTATGAAAGCTTTGCGATGCTGTTAGGATTTTGGGGGAGCAAGGAGCTCCATCACCTGCCGGCAAACACTTCAAGCCCGTGGCGGGACGAGCAGGCTCTGCCATGCTTCGCCGCAGCGAGCACCCGAAGAGCGATAGAAAAATCTCATCCAGGCTTGACCTTGACATCCTCCTGTGGAGCCCCGGAAGCCGGCGCCCCGATGTCGGCTCCGACGTCGTGAACCGGTGCATAAACGTAGATCATGGCGTCGGCTCCAACCGTCACGAAGACGTGACCATCTGGCTCGAAGGCCATGCTTGTTACACCTGCGGAGTGTGAAGAGAATGTCTGCAGAACTCTTTGTCTTCGGTAGTCCCAAACCTTGACCACCTTGTCCAAGGAAGTAGAAACTAAAGCTGGATGTCGATGGTCTGGACATGCTTGTACGCACGTGATGCTCGCGCGATGGGCAGGAAATCTTTCCACCTGCGGCCTAATGCCGCGAGTAACCCAGCGAGATGCATCCATCATGCAAACGTTGCGGTCATCACCTTGGTTGCAAGAGAAGACCAAAAAAGAAAGGGGAGTGCTTCGCTACTCTCTTGATAGACTTGAAACAGCAGGCAGGCAGCCGCCACTGAAAAGAAACTTGGATCGCTCGAAGGAGAGTGATCTGACTGCGCTGCCCACGTGGACCTGCAGATCCGTGCCTGCCCAGTCCAGCGTCGCCAGGTCAAGCAAGCCGATTCGTCCTGCAGGGGCGGGCGACTGCCACTGCACATGCGCTCAACGACCATTTCCTAGACAAAAACCCTTGGGTCGGGTCTTTTTCCCTAGGACTTGAAGACGAGAAGCCCGAGCTCCGCCCGCAAGCTAGCATCCGACCGTCGCCACTGGCACACATGGATGTGACGGCGGGGTCCGGGTCAGCTTGAGCGTGTGATACGGAGGTGCGACGAGCCTTGCTCGCTCTCTCTTCGTCACCGTTCTTCACTGCGCCCACGGAATTCGCAGGCAACTCTCGCTCGACTCTTTGCTGCCGCAGATCCCAAATAGCGAGCCTACCAGAGACGTTACCGGAGACCAGTCGATGACCGTCGGCCAGAAAGCGTATTATACTTCCTTGCCCACGTGCGGACTCCAGCTTACCTGACTGCTCCTTCGGATTCCGCAAGTCGCATAGCAGAATAGTCCCGTCCTGCGTACAAACCGCTGCCATATCCCTGAAGGCATCAAGGGAGCTGGGAGCAGCAGCTGCCGCTTCTGCCAGCGAACCGTTAGCAATGAGCCCTTCATCACCTAGCCTCCACAGCTTCACTGTCGGCCTTGAGGAGCTTGTGAGCACAGTCTCGCCGTTGAATGCAACGGAGAGGATCGGGAGCTTCCTTTTCTGAAGCTCTTCATCGGCTTGTTTGGCAGAGATCTCCCACTGTGTACTCGAGGCGCCATCGGCCATCAAGCGAAGCCCCCCAGGCCGGCCCCTCGAGTGCTACAAAACTTCCCCATAAGAGCCAACTCTGTGCCGAAAGATACCAAAAACACCACGAACTGCCAGCAGAATACTATCCCGTTGCAGAGCGTGCATCCTCGAGGGTGCGCATCTGTTTCAAGACTGGGACGGAACGAACGGTGGAGGGTCACAACCACTGCATGAAGCTCAGAGCGTGCGAGCATGGTAAAGGTTTATCAAATGTGACTGTGATACTGCGAAGCTCTCGGGAATATCTCAAAACCTCTTGGGCGGCGGAGGGAAGGCCGGATCCAAGCAGGCCTGAAGAATAAGTAATAAGTCTGTTCATGGTCGCCGTCACATCAGAGGGACCGGTATAGCTTAGGAAACGAATGTGATCATGTTGATCGGGAACGACGTCAGTCCACGTGTCCTTCTTTGGCCTCTGCTTCAGATTGTCATCAAGACAACGAAACGTAGCAATGCTGCCGAATAAATGATGATACCACGAGAGCAACCGACACTAAGCTTCTGTGGTGAAGACGGCAGCAATATGGACAGAACGAGACATTGACGAACTGACAGGATTATATACAGAGGTGGAGCTAGAGACGGAAATACCGCCGACCCACTGGTGGATGGATGGATAGATACACTGATAGATCGGTAGATAGATAGGTGGGTAGGGTCGATAGACGGTCGGGCAGATAAATAGCAGAGAGATAGACAGACCGATGGATATATGCAAAGATGGATAGATGAATACATGGATAGATGGACAGATTGGTAGATGAGTACACGCATACATGGATATATGGATACATGGCGATGGCTGGATGGATAGATAGGTAAATAAGTAGACAAACAGGCAGACAGACAGGGATGGGCAGATACATACAGACATGCAGACATACATACACACATAGACGTAGATCAGCAAGATACTACATGATTTGGAAAGACATGAGCTGTACCGCGTAGCGACATAGCCAGATAAGCGAATGCGAGAACAGCTCTAGATAGTCGACAAAATTCTGGATAGAACAAAGATAAGAGCGCAGCACGTCATAGCGCGGAAGCGCAATTATTTCGTCGCAGAAAAGAGTACATTGGCATGGAACAGCACGAAAAGAAGATTCAGAAATGACTCGCATGAAAGTCAAAAGTCAGAATCGCAACGAAATCCCCAGCATAGCGAGAACAATCGTGTCCAGGAATGTCTATATCTGTATTGTATACATGCATGTATATATGTATATATCTAGACTGTGTATGTGGAAAGACCGCAACAGGACCACAAGCCATTAGTCAGGAGGCTCTGTTGCGACATGCACCGTAACTAATAACACTGTTCAATGAAAGCTTACATACATGTACATACAGAACTGCAGACCTGCTTGCAAGACGTACTACATACACACACATTTGCGCAAAGCTCACGCGGGTACTTCGTAGACGAATCGTGAACTATCTACAATGCTTTCAACCGTGCGTGCAAAGCTCTGAACGTACTGTGTCATATTGAAAAAAGCACACAAGTTTCACACCAAAGTAGTGTCTTATGGACTATATCATCACGCGGGCCCTTGAAATGAGGGATACCTTGATGTTGAGGTAGGGGGGGAGACCTCACTGGGCTCAGGCAGCATCTTTAATGGGGTTGGCTTCAGGGCTAGAGTACGGCCCTGTACCCGCAGCACTGTCATAGAGCGCTGTCATGGAACTATACCAACCAATAACGCAACATATCACTATGCCTGTTAAGCGCTACAGTCTTCGGCATCATTTTGCTGTACTGTGCGAGTTCAAGCTGAAGACCTGGGTTTTTGTCACCGACAACACGATGCCGCATGATTAACATATCAGGAGACATATGTCCATCACAGCATGTTGAGATTGACTCTACAGCTGAAGACGCTCGCAAGTTTTGCCGGAAATGTCTCGTGATGAAGCCTCAGACGTAAGATCAGGCAGGGTAAAGAAGCGTTATTCGTCTCGTGTTGCATGGTACTACAACCCGACACACGGGGGAGGTTGTCATGCTACATAGCACGATGGACGGTATCAGTTCAATCGGCAAAAGCGCCTTGGCCCGAGGCCAACACATGGGCTGTTCTAGACGCTGAATAAAGTGCAATGCCATGCAACAGTAAAGTAAAGCTTGTAAGTTGAATCAATGCCGCACAAACGCACCCATGTGATGCAACACCCTGGCATGTGATGCAACAGTCAATCCGCCAATCCTGCCCATCATGATGCAAAGCAAACGAAATGCACTGCAACGGTGTCATGCAACATGATGTAAGCGTTTGTTGTTACTCCATATTGTCCTGTAAGATTGCAGAAGGAGAAAGGGCGCTTTGGGTAAACCACAGCGAGAATCTCCGATTCAAGAGGAGAAAGGGCATCGCTTCTCGTGAACCGAAAGCAGGCAGTCGCTTGCAGCAGCAAGGGCAAGCATCCATCGTCCCCTATCAATCCGATGTTAACTGACAAAATGCCTGCACCGGGTTTTGAGTGTTCGCAGATGCTTGAGTAAGCCTGCTGCAGCAGTGGCATCACATCCGGGGAGGTGTGCCTCCTGACAGGACGGCGGTCAGCGGCAACTCGTTGTTGGCATCGGGTGATCGCTCTGTCTGCATCAAGTCTCTGCATGAGTGGAACACATCTAATCTAAGCCCGCGCGACACCAAAACCCGCGATCATCCCGCAACGAACTCCGACCTATTGAGGTGGTCGTGCTCGAGGTTCGCTGGCGGGTTCGTCTTGCTTGGCCTCTTGTCATAGCCCCGGGACTCTCTACACCAACTGACCTGTCGATGACACTTCCCCTCCAATTAACGTGCATTTATCGATCTGAGCGAGTTTGTATCACTATGCCAGGGCAACTGGCAGCAGAAATTGCAATGTCATGTTACCAGACGCGTCCCTTCCCCACGCGATGCAAGAGGCTTGCGCACAGCTGTTGCCAGCACAACATGACAGGCATGCCAAGGCCGCAGCGTTTCGGACTGCAGGCGAGGCGGGTGCGGCTGTGGAATTCCCTGATTGTCCTCGACCGTGGCCTGATACACACAGAGTCCACTTCTTCATGCATTTTCACCCGATCCGCAGATGCAATAACCTGCCAGGACGACCAGATGCGAAAATGATCCCGTGACACCTGCGCAGAGCAGCCAGGCGCGATTCCATGCAATTGCCGGACAGTAGGAGTGCACACAGGATGCACCTTCGTCACGATAGCCGTCATCCGAGGCTCCCTGTCAAGGATTTAACGACCTCTTTTTTGACCACATTTAACTTGAGGTGGGATCCTGCACCACACTTGGAATCATCCCCGGCTGCTTTGCCTCTGCAGGTACACCTGACCAGCAAGATCTCAAGCTGTTCTCCCGGTATACATTTCAGGGGACATGTGTCTTTCTGCACGCGTGGGAGGAAGACAAAGTATGACGTCCAAGAGGGCCACAAGTCCTGGACACAGCCTCTTTCACTGACCAATCTGTACAAGATCCTCGACAAAGGGGATCTTGGCCTTGTTGGGCTCTGTACATTCATGCTTCAGCCTTGCGAGACGGCCTCTTTACTTATGCCCCGCAAAGCGCTCCGAACCAAGCTTTGACACGCTTCGAAAATCTGTGTGGCTTCGACTTTTGCGAGTTGCGCGCACACAGCACATGACCATCACTTAGGGATCGCTCAACAGCAGCACTTTGGACATCACTGAGGTGAGCTAAGAACTCGTCAATATTGATCTTGCCGTCCTGGTCGCGGTCCACCTCCTTGAAAATCACCTCTACATCGAAATCCTCCCCGAGCACCTCACAGGGGAGTTTAGATTGACTTCTTCCTAGCAGCCGCAGCCGCACCGGGCGCAAAAATTAACGGCTTCCAAACCAGCTCAGCGACTTCACGCAGCTTTGAAGGGCTAAGATACCCGCTGTCAGTGTGATCGAAACGACGGAAGGCCGACTTGGCTGCGTGCGAGGTCTCCTCCAGGTTCGTGCACGCAATCATGGCAGCCAGGAAGCTACTGTAGCTGATGTCATCACCAGTCTGGCTTTGCAGGATGTCGAGGGCCCGCAACGCTTCCCGGCGCTTGTCCGAATCGTCTTGCATATGCATTGACAAAAACTCCTTGGTGCTGAAAATGCAGCTGGGGGCAACGACATTTGTCATAAACGACCTTTAGCTGTAGGATTAGGAGTCCAGCTAATGTCGCGAGGACGTGTGGGCCGTGGGCCTTTCCACCGGGGAAAGAGGGAAGCGGGTACTGGCCCAGTCAAGCCCTGACACTCGAAGATGCTGCTGCTTGATGACTCCCTGGCGGCTCAGGTGGATGAAATCCCCACGCAGCTTGCGTCGCTCCTCCAGCTATGGATGATTGAAGACAGCTACACATCGAGTTGCCACAACTCTCAGGGAAAGCTGTGGGAAGTTGCTTTAGAGAGCGCTTCACTCCTCCAGCGTCAGGCTCCAAGCCATTGCTTGCAAGCAGGCCCTGCAGTCAGGGCTGAGACTTCTCAGGGACAAGGGCTTCGCTCAAGCGATGCATGCTACTAAGCTACTATCTGCCTGCACAGTGCACTGATCTGTCATGAACGCGAGAGCAGTCACCAAACCGAACTTCTCGGTCGAACCCTCTGCTTTCGTTACGAGCCTCGCTGCTAGGACTGTTCCCGACGCACTATCTAAACGTATCCGGGCCAGTAACACTTGTTCAACACCGGGGGACCTCTGAAACTTGGTAGCATATGCGAAGTTCAAGAAGCACGTCACCACGCTTCCTGGAACGGCTGGAGCCGTCACCAAGGATGTAATCCATGGGTGCTGCAAGGCTGCCACAGCATCCATCCGTTTCTTTGGACATACGACCAGTAGCTTTTCAAGAAAGTCTTTCGCTCGCTTGGAAATATTATACCACTTGCTCCAGTGCAGTTTGTACTTGCCGGCCTTGATCTTGCGTGCAGTGTCAGCATCTGTGCGGCCATGGAATGGCATCTCCCCACTGAGCAAAATGAAGACGATTACACCGAGACTCCACATATCACAACTCCCACGAGCGTAGCGATGCCGCAACACTTCCGGAGCAACGTAGGCCAATGTTCCCATGGCTTCTCTCATCTTCTGGTCATTGGGGAAGAACTTGCTGAAGCCAAAGTCGATGAGCTTTAGGAAATCGCTTCCCGGAGCGTCGTAGAGGAAGTTCTCGAGCTTAAGATCCCGATGAACCACCCCGCGACTGTGAATGTAGCTGACCGACTGGAGCATGTGCCAAGTGGCTTGTGCAGCATCGTTCTCACTAAAGCGATCGGTCTGGCAAACACGTTCAAAGAGCTCGCCACCGTCCATGCGTTCCATGATAAGGCTGAGTTGGTCTTTGGTCTCGTAAACGGAGAAAAGACGAGCGATGTGCGGGTGGTCCAAACTGAGAAACACTGCTACCTCTCCTGCCAAACGTTCTTTTTGACCGGGATCGAGGTACTGCAGATCATAGGCCTTCACTGCAAAGCGTCCGGGTCTGTGGCGACTCTTGGCCGCTAGGACAGCACCACTACACCCTGTTCCCAAAATATCTCCGCTCACTTCGAAGTCGTCCTGCAAGACCCGTTGGGTGAAATACCGCCCCTTGACCTGGAGCGTGTCAAGGCGCTCAATGGCACCGTTGAGGGCAGCTGAAAAATCCGAGCTGATCTCTGTCATTCAAACGGTTTGCAAGGTTGGTGACAACTTTGGGCCAATATGGCTGGGTGCTATCATGCTTCCTCCGGCAGTCTGGGCTTGCAATCTCCAGCACAAGGCTGTCGCGGCCTTTAGAAGGTCTACCTCTTGTTGTGGGAGGATCCTGCAACTCCACAGAAGAGCAACTCAAAGCCGTGTTTGTGCATACCGGGGCCTTGGCTTGCCCTCCGGCTGCTATCCATGCTTTGGCCTCCAAGCTCGAAGAATGCACAAAGAAGGAAGAACGAGAAAACACATGAGGACCGTGCATGCAACTGCGCGATCAAAGCATCAAGCTGCGCGTGGTGCTCCTCCCAGCTTGGTCCTTTCAAGATCCGATCCCGAGCTCTTTGATTTTTGCATGCGAGAAAAGACCGAGTCTACTTTGCCACGTGCTCCTGTTCCACCTTCATGCCGACCAGACATGCAAAACACTCCATACACTTCGAATTCTCTGCGCTCTAGGTTCGGGCGGTGCCGTTCTCAAACCTTAAGTTGAATCAACCCCAATGGTCGTGCTGAAGCGATGCGCTTAATGGCCATGGCTCTAAAACGTAAATGTAGGAAATCAACCAAAGTTGTATAAAATTGCAATCGAGCCAGGCTGCGGCTTGGTAACACAAACTGAAGAGTTCCTAAGACCCAAACAGTAACGACTTCAGGAGTCAGCAACTCGAGTGGACTATGACAAACTCAAACAAGCCTCCAAGGGCACTGCACAAGTGAGATTGGATGACACTCTACAGCGCAACTTCTATCGTCAGGTGGATCGCGACGGCAAAGGGATCAGGAGCAAGGCACAATAACGCGGGCCCAGCCCAATAATTGCCACAGGAAACATAACTGCGGTAGGCAGATTCGTTGTGATCGGAACTGCACTACGCAACTCAAACATTCATGGTAACACTCATAATTAATCAATATCACGTGTAATCGGAATTGGGTGTCAATTCAAATTGCTCGCACACACGTCGACTTCTTTTTCAACGGAACGCAAAACGTGTCAAGAGCCTCATCAGACACTGTACCCACAAGATGGGGCTGCTGCCACGGCTCTGCAGGCACCAGCAGCCAGCACTCCATGAGCACATGGCGGCTTAAGTCCAGTAACAGGTGGATTGGAAAGGAAAATCTTCTCCTGGTGGCAATTAGATTCGGTCTTCTGTGCTGGTCGCGAATGCGGCTTGTGGAGCACGGGGCCAAAAAAAACATCAGCAAGAACAAAAGAAGGAAAAGAGCAAAAATCTCTCCTGCAGAATGCCGTCCGGTTTCTGCCACGATCGGAGATCCGACTTTTTGGTGGCTGCTCCTGCAACGCCGCTCCGGCTGCCAAAATGGAGCGTTCTGACGTCCAACCAAACTTGCTTTTCTTTGTCGGCTTTTTTGTGCGAAAGTCGAAATGTATCAGTCAGCAGTGCTAAGACGTAATCTTGTCGCCAAGTATCTGGAAGCTCTCTCGAATGGGGTGCTCACGCCTCATTGCTCTTCAGTGCGCCTGTTGTGACGTGGCTGCATGGGGCCCCCTAGCGGTACTTTGGATTCCGGGCCACAGCTACTATCACCCGCGGAAGGCCATGAGCTTCCGCCGTGCATCCATGTCAGCAGCAGCGACAGGTGAGCTTGCATCACGAGCCGGAGCCTGTTATGCGTGTGCTGTTCCCCGGTGAGCCAACACCTGCACAGCTGGCTACAGCCTGTCCTGCCTGACGAGCTACGTGCCTCCCTTGTGAATGTGAGCCAGCTAGGGCTGCCAGCCGCCATGCGCCAATTCATTCAGGGTGTGCAGCTCATCAGAGTGGACAGCAAAAAGGAGTCGTGTCGGGCTTGCCTGCGCCCGTCACTGAGGCGTTAGATGATTGTCGATTCCTGCATTCCACTTGGTGATGAACCAAAATTGGAGGCACCAGCCCACCCAAGAGTTGACCCTCCTGTGAGCCCTTCCGTGCAAGTGTTGACCCCTCCTGCTTGCAAGTGCTAACTCCTTCTGTGAGCCCTTTCCTTCAAGCCCTTCTTGCAAGCGTTCTGCGTAGTACACCTACGTACACCTGCTGAAGCCGCATCGTGAAATGGCCTCCAAGATTCTGGGAAAAAAATCGGATACTGTAATTTGGTGATGGCATGACCTTGGGCGCAGTCTTCAACTGCCCGCACTCCGCGGCCTAGCGTGAGCATGCACAAGCATTCCACACGAACTTTGCTCACCATAGCGAAATGAGGTATGTGTCTCCCGCCTTACAAAGAGAGAGTCTCTGCCTCTGTCTTCCCTTTTTCCAAGACTCTCTCTCTCTCTCTCTCTCTCACTCTGGGGGCCAGACGTCATGGAGCGCTGGTACTTAGGTTTTAGTAACAGTACTAGTATTAGTATTAGTATTAGTATTAGTATTAGTATTAGTATTAGTATTAGTATTAGTATTAGTATTCGTCTTCGTGTTCGCATGAGTGTTTGTATTCGTATTAGTATTCGTCTTCGTGTTCGCATGAGTGTTTGTATTCGTATTAGTTTTTTGGTATTAGCATTAGTGTTAGTGTTGGTCTCAGTGTTGTCATGAATAGCAGCAGACCCATGTTGAATAATTTCGTGAATGATATCGGCATGAGCTTGCGAGGGCGCAGTAGTTGCTGGCAAACCCTAAACCCTAAACTAGTGCTTTGGCTCTGCGGTCTCCAGGTTCCTCCCTGCGAGATCTCGCCACGCAGAGGCAGCGGTAGCGGTCGCCCGGAGTGGTCTTGAGTCTGTATAAGCCCATTCTAAGACGAATACTGTTACTCTTACTCATACTTATACTAACACCAATACTAAGACAAATACATATTCTAATACTAGTACTAATCAAGAGAACCATAATAAGAGCAATAATACCCAATACCCCATCACACGGCACACAAAAAATCAGAGCAACCTTATTAGTCATATAACAACAAGAACCATACAGCTACAGCTACCAGTATTACACCACCTCTACTACATCTACGCTTTGCCTGATATTTCCTCATGACCCATCACCAACAACACTACGACGAACACCAACATAACTAACAATTGTTGGTCGTACCCTGCTTCCGAGCTTGCCTGAGAAGTGCGACAGCCGTAGTGGATGTTCCTTCAACAGCCCAAACCGCTCAAACCCTTCTCGTTCTATTGCTGCAAGACTGTAACTGGACAACTAGGAAACGCATGGGTGTATGATGAGACAGCAAACACAAACAGGCCTGATCCTTACAGCTCGGGTTTTGAGTTTAAGAAAACCTGCAATGTAGGGTTTCCGCACAACCGGGGTGACTCGAATTTCCTCCTCACCCATAAGGAAACAAGAACTAGGCTAACTACATTTTATCCATCGCTCCCGCTGTGTTTGGCGTGCCTTCTGCGGGACGACTGCCATCACCCACGATGCAAGTCCATGACAACCGCGATGGGCTGTGCTTCTAAAAGCCTTGCCTTACCGGCACCGGCACTGAAGTTTACAGCACAAGGTACTTGTGCGGCTGCTGCCTGCACATCAAAGTACAAAGCTCGATGCAAACCCAAACGGAGGGCACAAGCTCCGCCCTCCTGAGCTTCGATGGATCGTCACGTAGTGAAAACCGTAAACCAGCCAATCTTAAACCCAGTCTGTTGCTGCTGACAACTGCAGAGGTCACCTACAGGCCTGCGAGCTGGCCTCTACATATAGGCTGCGCGCAGAAGTTTGGCACGGACACGGCAAGCGGCTCCATGCACGCTCCGACTTCTTTTTGCAACTCTCTCTATAGCATCGGACCGATGTTGCGTGTACGCTGCCACTGCGCTGCTCAGTCAAACCTCCCTGCGGATTTGTGGACTTTGTCGAGGCCTTCGGAGATATGCACGATGCGAAAACGCTCAAATGCCCATGTAGCTGACACGTCCTGAATCGCGCAGGGGACATTGGTGTCAATGTCAGTCTCGGACATACGAATGAAGCGATTCCAATGAATGTTGTGAAACAGGAACTGGCCATCCCGAGCGGGGACGACAGTGAAACCCTGCCAGCCCCACCAGAACTCGTACTCAGACGCATTGCGGGGGATAGTGGATCGTTCCACCTCTCATTTCCAGGAAGCGGTTCGCAGCAATGTTGTGGAAGGCGACCTGGCCATTGCCACGGTGAAGCGGTGAAGCGCTCGAGGAGCCAGCTGGAAGGGAAGTCGCTTTCCTCCCAAAGCATGAGCTCTCCCGTGTCTTGCCTCATTGAGACGAAGCGCTTGTGCTTGAGAGAATGGAGGGCCACAGAACCAGGTTCCAGGTAAGGCTTCACCAGGCACAACCTGGAAAAGCTCATTATACCACCAACCTGGCAGGTCCTGGACATTCATGGGGACACCATCGACCTCGTCAGCTGACATTCTCACTATGCGGTTGTGAACTGAGTTGTGCAACGCAAACGTTCCACCTGCAGCAGGAACCAGCGTGAAGCGTTGCATAGTCCAAGTAGAGGGGTAGGCATTGGGAGCCATGGGGGCGCTGACCTCCATCCATTCGGTCTCCGTTCATCTTCATGTACCTGTTGTAAAGGCTGTTGTAGAAGGCAACCTGGCCGTTGCATCGATGACTGTGAAGCGCTCCCAAGTCCAGGAATCTGGAAGATTCTGATCGCAGGGTGCGCTCACGCCTATCGTGCCCAAAAGCTCATGGGGAATTTGGGCAGCCGCCGCAGCCGCCGCAGCCGCGGCTTGTGCATCTTGTGCACTGTCGCGTAATTTAAAAGATCAGACTTTGGCAGCCATCGTCCCGATCCGAATCCTCCGAATCTCCCGTTGAGAGATGGAATCAGAATTGGTTTTCCTTCTCCAGCAACATGGCTGGCTGAGCATTGGGCCACATCTTTACGTAGCGACCGTGATGCGGGTTTCGCAGGGCCACCATGCTGCCCCGCTGAAGAGAAAGCTGGAGGTGCACCACCTGGAAACGCTCCACATCCCAATTGGCTGGCAAGTTCTTTGGATCCATGCATGCTGTTGTCCACACTCTGATCTGCCATGCGATTGTGAAGGACGATCTGTCTCCATACGCTCCATCTCTCGTTTTTCCAGCTAGTTGGAACTTGATCCATATTGCTGGAAGGGTTTGCACCAGCAAAGCTGACGAAACGATTGCTTACGGCATTGTGCCCTGTCCAGTAAAGCCACTGCGGAGCCTGGCACCAACATCCGTTTCCAGTCCTCTGGAAGTTTTCGAGGCTGTGGTGGATGGGGCTGCCTCCCACATGGCGGTATGGCAGAAACCTGTTATGGACTTTGTTGTAAATGCCGCCCGCGGCGTTTCGCGCGGTAACTAATTATTAACGACAAAGAAATTAACGGCGCGCGCGGAGCGCGCGCCGCCAGCGAACAAAAAACGCGTTTTTCCGTTTTTGCTTTCCAACCTCACTCAAACCTGCTTTCCCAAACCCAAAATCTTTTTCAGTCGAGCGTGACAACATCCCTCATTTCGCCTGCCACCTCTACCTGTACACGAGGTGGGGCAGGGCTTGCAAAAGGCTTCTTAAAAGCAGACATGTCCTTCCAAGTGACCCCCCCGCTGTCTCTTTGAGACTTGCGAAGCTGGCCACACACTGAAAACATGTCTTGTCCGCCGAACCAGTGCTTCAGCTGGAACAAACGGACGTGAAAACGCATGATCTGTTCCATGCGAGGGCCTCTGTCGTCTGAAGAGCCAACTGTGTTGAAGGGCCGCTTGCCGACCACTTTGCGGAAGGCAGCCTGGGTTCCTCCAACCCTTTCCTGGCCCACCCAGACACGCACCGCATTCTCTTAGTCATGAACAAAATGCTCGCTGGCGTTCTTGACTTCAATGTTGTGCGACCAGGACCTTACGGGCTGCATTGGGTCACGAGCTGGATCCGCAGCCTTTTTCCTAGACATCAACGGGAAGCTCGTTGCCCTCTCGGCAGCGTTTCTGGGGCTGGCTGTGTTTCCTTTCTCAGTCTCTCCCAAGGTTTTTTCCTGAATGTGACCTTTTGCAGGATGATTCTTTTTCGCTTTCTCAGAGTTTGTCACTCTGGGCAGGTTGCTCTTTGACACGCCGGTAACTTTTCATCGATTCTATTCGATCGCATGATCCAGATCGCTCATGCATGCTTTGCTGCGGGTTCTCACGTATTGCTTTCTCAGCACGCAGTCTGGGGCAACTCCTCAGTGATGTTTCTTGGGACAGCAGATAAGTTCAGATGCTATCTTTTGGGACCGCATCAATTTGGGACTTTGAAGGTTTTGGGCTCTTGGCTGCATCGTTTTCGTCTTTACAGCATGGACTGTACGTTGGCGAGGCAAGTGCATTACGATGGGTCCTGCTAGCAGAGACTGTCGGGCTAGAGCGAAGGACAGTGGTGAAGTGGAAGATGTCCACACTTCAGAAGACGTGGTCTCTCTGGAAATGGATGATTCCTGCAATCTTCCTGTACGGGCTTCGGACTTGCTAGAGACGAGGAGTTGAGTCTCTAGTTCGCAAGTGGGGAGATGGCATTTAGGCGGACGCAGCGTTCAACGCGGCAGAGTCCACCAAGCCAAAACGCCACGCTTCATAGGAGACGTTCAATGCGGCAAACTTCAGAAACTTTCCTTCCATCATGAATAGTCTGATTTGGCCTTTAAAGTGCTTTCATTCTCCGACATCAGCAGTATCTTCAAAAAATCTGTTTGTCTGAGCTTCCTTTGCTGCAATGGCAAGAACGGCAGGCAAGCTTGAGGTCTCAGCTGCGAGACCGAAGGGAGCTGGACACATGGCAACTCACCTTTTGCTTTTGTGTTGAACTGCCACCAACTTGTACCAAACCGGTCTGCCGACACCGAGCGAGCACAACTACACTTGCACGGTCCAGATAAATACAATTCGAGGAGACATGGAACTCCTCGTTTCCCGACTTCTTTCCGGTCACAGAGAACTCTTTGTAAGACTGTCGAGCTTCTGCAGAACCTGGCTCGAGTTCTGCAGGACCTTCGAACAGACTTCCTATCTTACCACCAAATCCCAATAGAGCAACTGAGGGAAACACACCATCCAATCCGCCACACTACATAGCATCGCAGCAATTGAACGATGGATGCAGAACCTGGGCTCGGCAGTTCCGTGCATCGAAGGGCATAGTGCCACAAGTGATTTCGTGTTTCTTCTTCTCGTGTCTGTGGTTGGAGTATGGTCAAGTTTTCAAGTTAGTGTTTGTGCAGTTTGTGGCAAAATTCATATTCTGGCGCTCTTTAGGCTTCAGGTCACTGAGACCGACATTCTGCTCTTTAGTGAGATATCTGACAGACTTCCCCATGTGAAAATGCACTTTGGTTGACCGCACTGCTTCCTAGGAATCGGATCCCAGTGTTTTGTCTGACTTCTTCTGTAAAGAATGACAGAAAAACAAATCGCTCCGGCGAACATTGGACTTTTGAGAATGGCGATAGAACGCCTGCCGGAGCTTGGACTTGGCTCCATCTGTTGCTTTGGGCAGCTCAGAGCGACGGCTCTTTATTGCTTCGGATCGGTCGAGGCTCCGTAGTTGTGCTGAACCGCTAACAAGTCTGTGCACCGCAGCCCTTGTAGAGTTCGCTTTTAGTCTCACCGCTTTGTAGTTTTTGTTGCTTGTTTGTGGTCTGTTTGTTCAAAGGGACCGAGTGCTACAACCGTAATCGACGAGGCCCCTTCACGCCAAAAAACAGAATGTCGGTTTTAGTGCCTCCAGTTAATGCCTAGCGTGCTCGTTTTGTGGCGTATACGGGCAGCTGTAGCACTCGGTCCCTGCAAACAAACAAACTAACAGTGGCTGCTCTGATTTAAATCTGGGTTCCAAATCTAGGAGAGAACCTGGGTTTCACCTAGGTTGGGTTTTAGAACCGGGGTTTCACACCTGGGTTTTCATCTGGGTTAGAACCTGGGTTTCAAACTTGGATTGGAACCTGGGTTCACCTGGGTTTCAACCTGGGTTTTAATCTTAGTCAAACCGGGTTTCATCAAACCTTTGCAACGTCGCTCATTCGATGGATTTGAGCTTGCAGAAGAGGATTTGTGGTTTGGAGAGTTTGGATTGGGTTTGGGTGGTTCAGATTTGTACATTTTTGTTTCGTTCTTTGAACACTTGCAGAAGATAGAGCTTTATTGTTCAAAGAAAAACAACATGACAGAATGACTTAGAGAACTAAGTCCAATTTTGATTTGTTGTTTTAGGGCTTTCCTTTTACACTGCCCATTTTATTGAACCCATTTATACATGCTGTAAACCAGTTTAAGAATACATTCGTCCGTTGCAGCTTGACCTCTCGAAGGGGCAGGAAGCCCTGAATCGGGCGAGAGTTTTATTTGAAATACTTAGCTGGAGCTTTGGTGATTTTTAGGTGTGTGACCGACGCACTGGCCTGTGATTCAGGAGTATGCAATCACCTGAAGTGACCGGCGGAGAAGCAGAGGCGCCGACACCCTCGGATTCGTTTACATCCACTGAGAGCTTTGTGTTGCACCACATGCGTGGGTTACAGATCCAGATCAGTCGGCTGCATAGAATGCAGCTCATGCTTGCTGACCGCCTTTTCGATCGCGTGTCGCGGTTGGAGTCTCAGCAGATGCTAGTTTCTTGCTTTCTTCATTGGAAGTTTCGGGCTGGCCGCAATTCTGATCCGGAGCATGTTCCTGGAGGATTGCTGGAACCTCAGCTCCAGTAGTGAGACTTTGCATGGCATGTCTCTTGCTCAGAGTAAGAGAAAGGCGGGCGAGGCAAACTTGCCCTGGGATACGCCTCCGGGATATATCTTCAGGATGCAGGTGGTCGTTACTGACCGCCTAACCGGATATATGACCATCACGCTCGATATTCAGCTGAGTTGCAGAGATATTATCGATCAAGCGAAGTACTTAGTGTCGCAACGTCTTTTCGAGCTTTTTGGTCGCTTCCCTAAGTTGAGCTCTTTTCAATTGGTCCAGGATGGCAGGCACCTGAGTTTTTCAGCTCCAGTGCTAGTGGCCAACACGTTGTCACCTGTGAGATTCGTTCGCACCGCCTAAAAGTCTGAGTTGAGTGTTTGTTTGATTGCCGTAACATGCTGATTGTGTTGCTGCTGTTGGATTGCAAGCGAGTACCGGAGGCCGTTCAAGATGTTGCACGTGTTTGTAGCCGTTTGCTTCTCAGGCATTGGTTTGTAATGGCGGATGCTGTAGGGACGGATGAGGCCGATGACCGTTCTTGGTCGTCGTGGAGCTCAGCCTTTGAGCCACAGCAACCGGAGCCTCCCATCCCGTCCGTGAAGAAGCGTAAGCAGAAGAAGACAAGGAAGGCCGGGAAGGCCTCTCGTAAGAGGCATAAGGCACGGCGGGTGAGTCCCGCGCCTGATTCGGACAGTTCGGCTATCGAGGCCAGGACGGAAGTCCTACAGGAGGTGGGGGCTCGACAGCCAACAGTGTCGGCTACGGCTTCGTCGGGGGAGCTCAGGCTACCCCTTGATGGTGATACTGCTACTGAGGACTTGCGTGACATCGATTCGCAGTCTGCAGGTACTTATACGGTGGAGGATCACACTGAGGCAGTCATGCACCATGCTAGGCGGGCTCGTGGAAATCCCAAGGCCGCCGCTAAAATGCTGGTGCGGGCCCAACTTAGATGCAGCTGTCATTTTACATATGTTCATGAATGTGCTGCCCGAGCGGCACGGCGACTGCCTGCTTGAGGGCGCTTTTTCCCGAGTTGCTCGGCCTACGCGCTGATATGTGACCGTCAGGCTTCGGTACTTCTGCCAACTGACTTATGCTGCACTGATGTCGGCTATGAAAGTACATTTTCGTCTGAGCATCGAGTCAGCTGTGTATTGACATCGTTGTGTGTTGCGGCGCTCAGGTCGGGACGCCTGCGTGCAGAGACAGCGCTCGGGACCTGGAGCGAAAACATGCGCAAGAGCGCTTTCGATGTGAGTGTGTACGCCAGAGGTTGCGTGCGTGCAGAGGCACCTTCGTACGTGACGTTTGTCTGCCAATCCCTTTTGCCCCCCCCCCCAAAAAAAAAGATTCAGAGCAGCAAGCAAGGCAGGAGCCTGGTGCTGGGTGTTTGATAAGGCGCCGAAGCGCTTGACAGAATCTCGGAGGGCTGGAGCCCGGTTTCAGCTACGTGCTGAGTGTGTGACGCGGGGATGTTTCCCTGGTCAATGGGACCGATGGGGCCGATGATGCCCCCATTCGGTAGTGAGAGGCGTCGGCGCCGTCGGCGCTCCCCCTCGAGTAGCTCTGAGCGCTCGAGGAGCAGAAACCGTGATCGCAGACGCGACCGGGAATCAAGATCGGGGGGAGCGCGAGCTGCTGCGCCTTTTCCCCCGCCAGTGCCTCAGCTGCGTACCAGTGGTGCCGGTGCAGCCACCTTTGCCGCCTCCCTCGACACCTGCCCCGATTGCCCCTGCTGTGCATGTGCCTCAGCAGCAGACTACTTGGAATCGCCAGCCCTGGCGCGGAGGAGGCCAGCAGAAGCAGGGCCAATGGAACAAGCGCTGGAACCAGTGGCGTCGGTCCAGCCAGGGGTCGTTTGAGCCTCGAGGGTCGGGCCGTCAGTCCTCTTGGACGGATCCAGACCACCACAACATTCAGGAGGCCACTCCGTCTGAAGTGGCCGCGGCCGACGCCCGTAGGGCTGCCAAAGAGGTTGATCAGGACGAGGCCGACGACGAAGCGTCGTACCTCGCAGCTCTGTGGAAGTCGGCGGAGGATCAAGCGCGCGAAAGAACCCACTCGCACATTGTGAGTTCGGGAACTGGCAGAGCAGAGAAAACTGCAGTGGTGGTGGAAGATGCCTTGGAAGGCCATCGCCGAGAAGTTCCCCGACACGGCCGCATACAAGGAATTCTTGGAAGGACTTGAAGGTCCGATACCGGCCTCTGTGATATCCCGAGTGGCCACGGTCCTTGCTGCCTTTCGGGCTTACGGCCGCCCCCTCGAGGGGGAGAATCCTGTGGCGGGCGTCGTCGGACCCGATGCTCACATTTTTCGGGTGCCTGGGCAACGAATTTTGATCTTATCCTGCGAATTGCGCGGGCCAAGCTATATCCGCAATCCGAACTCGGAACACTCTGCTATCATGGCTCATGGTACCTCTTTCCCATCTTTAGTCGGCGTGGCGGAGATAGGGGAGATCGCAGTGAACGATTATCGCGATCAGGGAATTCCCTGCTTCGGCTTTTCGGCACGAGGTTCATTGGTCGGACTGTCGCGAGATGCACTGGAAAGTGCAGCGACAAAATGCGCGAGTCGGGCTAAAGCCCTGGGTGGTGCGATTATCCTCGTAGAGTGCGAGTTGCCACGGGGCACCCCCTCTGTGGAGGGGGGGAACGAAATGATGCAGATCTGTTGCCGGGACGCTGGCTCGGTCAGGTCGGGGGATCACTTTTTGATCTCCCCAAAACACGCGATTATGAGAGGAATCGCAGTAGGGTGGCCGTGCTAAGCGGCGTTATCCCTGCAGATGTGAGCAGTTTTGACCGGCGGGAATCGCGACATGAAAAGGGGGTCAGACTTGAGTGGTATCTGCTACGCTTAGTGTCTTTTGTGAGGGGAGATTTCTAACGGCAGCAGTCCACCTCTTGCAACTTGTTGCTTACGTATTGGTCGGTTCAAGTTTTGACCGTTTTGGCGGGGCGTAGTTCCTGACAGGGTTCCTCGCGATGTCTGGCCACGACCCTAGAGCGAGTGAGAATGAAGTGTTCATGCGAAGCCTCACTCATGCTCGGTCGTCGCTGCCTCGGCAGCCTTGGGAACAGCCGGCTATGCTGTGTATATTTGATCCATTGAAGGCGGCTTTCCCTCAGGGCTTGAATTTGCCTTATCAGGGAGTGGTCCCTGCGTCGCCTGTCCCTCAGACGGCAGCACAGCCTTCAGATCCCGGAAATTCGGTGACGAGTGGATCTCATTGTCAGGCATGGACTCGTGCAGTCAAGGCAAAAAGAGGGCCTAGGGCCGCGGATCGTCGTGAAGAGGCGTACCGCCGGGTCCTCACATTACTTCATGCCTTTTCGAGTTTCTTTGACCTGTGTACTTTGATGGCGGATGTCGAGGAGGACGGCCCGGATTCTGTTCAGGCAGTTTTGGCAGGGAAATCACCGAATACCATCTTGAAGCATGTGGGTCCGGTTCGTACTTTTTGCGAGTGGCTTTTGAAAGCAAGTCATACTCCGCCTTTTGTGGAGACAGTCTTGTGGTCTTTCATCCATTGTGTCCTCAAGATGCCTAAGACCGCGGCCACCACACTGGACAGTAGTCTGCGTGCTATCAAGTGGAGTTATTATACCTTGGGACTACGTGTTCAACTAGAGGTCTTCAGCAGCCCTCGCGTTCATGGTGTGGTGAAAAAGGCGCTACAGACTAAAAACCCGTGGTGCCCGGCGTCGCCCCTCAAGGTGTCCGAAGTTCTCCAGTTGCACGCGATCTGTTGTGATCGCGATATTTCTGTCATTGATAGATGCGGGGCGGCACATTTCCTTGCTATGCTCTACGCGAGGGCGCGAGCATCGGACATCCGGTGTGTCAAAAGTATCTTGATAGACGTGCACAACGAAGACTGGAGTTCGCGCTTCATTGAACTAGGGACGCTTGAACACAAGACGTCTAGGCTGGACACTCAACGACGCCGCGTACTGCCTCTGGTGATTCCCGGCCAGGGTATTGCTAAAACGCCTTTTGGTCAACTCCTCCTGGACATTAGGGCTGAGGCTGGTTTGCCGAACGATCAGGCGGATGTCCCATTCTTGCAGGCGCCTCTGCCGGATGGATCTTGGTCTTCAGACCCGTTGTCTAGCAGCGAGATTACCAGGTGGCTGAGGTATCTACTGCCACGTCCATCGACGGAACAGGCTGTGAGTTCGCACTCATTGAAGGTTACCTCACTTGTTTGGTGTAGCAAATTCGGGATGCTTCGCGAGACCAAGCGAGTTCTAGGCCATCACGCGGATGCAGCGACTGGCAGTGATGCAGTTTATGGGCGTGAGTTGCAGAGCGCGGCACTACGTGAGTACGTTGTCGTACTGGATGCAGTGGCGACGGGTAAGTTCCTGCCGGACCAGACTCGTTCGGGTCATTTCTCATCAGGTTGGACTCGGGAGTCCATCCTGCAGGCGGCTGCTTTTCCACAGGACTCGGAAGTCCTGCAGGCGGCTGTGGAGGACGACCAAGATGAGGCTTTGGCTGTGGTTTCTGATGTTTCAGACTCTGATGAAGAAGCCCCGGAGGAACAATCCTTCTGGGCTCATCCGACTAGCCAGGTCCTACATCGCACGACTTTGGGGTCGGCAATGTTTTTGTGTGGCCGAGCTGTTGGCGATCATTATCGGCGCATTCCTATGGCTCGGGCGCAAGCGCACCCGCAATGTGCCAAGTGTTTCCCACGGAGCGCAGTTTGATTTCTTAGCCTGCTCGAAAAGCCAACAGCTGTCCTAGTATAGTGCTCGGTGTGCATTGTGAGAGCTGCGTCCTCGCTAGCTTTTTCGGTTGCCAGGTACTTAGCCATGACGAGTTCCGTAGATTCGGCGCCTTTCTTTGTGCAGCGAGCGGATGAAATCTCGCTTGCCAAGCGAGTAGTGGATGCCTTGAAAGGTAAAGGGGTCACCACTTTGGCCCAGCTGGCCTTCTGTGTCGGACAACCGGGACAGGTGCTATCTCAGACTGAGTTTGACACGTGGACCGAGGCCATGTTGGTAGGCATCACGGTGGGCGAGAAGGCGTCTCTGAGGCGCCTGATCTTGGAAGCTCAGACCATGCTAGTGGCTTCTTTGAAGGATCTGGCAGAACCTGCTGAACACGCTTCCCCTAAAAAGGTGGGGGTAGCCGAGCGGAATGCTCGCATGGATCAGCTTCGGACTCAGCTCGCCGGAGTTTCGCTCACTGGACAGCTTGAGCCGAGTCATGCATTACTTGACATGGCCGTTCAGCAGTGGGAGAGTCGCTGCCTGAAGTACATTGGTCCAGAGAAGTGTCATAGCCGCGAGGATGAGGTTCAGAACGTTAAGCCTTTGACCACCAGTCTCTCCTTGGAAGGCGGTAAGCTGAAGGTTACGGAGGCTGCTGGTATGGATGATCGTGACATTGAGGGCTCTTTGCAGGTCCTTAATGCCCTGCGCCGCAGAGGAGTGGCTTACGCATTTGCTCGCTTGATCTGTTGGGAAAGACATGAAGCTTATGTTTCTTCCTTATTCAGGTATTTGACCAAGCCCGCTCAGCCTGGTTACAGGAAGGTGTCTCTTCGTCAGATCTTGCGGGCTGACAAGCTTGCCTTCTCCAAGTTGTCGGAGGCAGGTGAGGACATCCGGGCAGATGCTTCAGGTACTCTCCCGCTTGATGCCGCGATCGGGGCTATCCTTCACGATTATGACCTAATTGTAGCTCTCCTGCCTATGGGTGATTTGGATGGTAAGGGCAAGAATGCTAATGGCCGCGGTGGGCGCCCGGGTCCTTACAGCGATAATGCGCCCTGGAAGGGGAAGAATGGCAAAGGTAAAGGCGGTTGGAACTCCAAGGGCTCTGATAGTTGGACAGGGAAAGGCAAAAACACCTGGCAGGCCAAGGGCAAGTCGCCCAAGGGCAAAGGCTCTGGAGCCGGGAAACCGGAATGGTTGCCTGAGGGACTTCGCTTCCAGGGAGCATCTGCATGCCTGGAATAATAAAGGCAACAAGGTCTGTTACGGTTTCAACCTCGGGACATGTTCGGATGCGAACTGCCAGAAGGGCGATCACACTTGCTGCATCTTTAAGTGCGGTGGCGATCACCCGGTGGGGAAGTGCCCCTTGAAGCCCAAGAAGCTGTGACTAGCGGCTCCGCCGCCTTGCACCGCCGCCTTGGCGTCGGACGTGGAGATGACACCTTCGGAAGAACCCGTTTCCGGTGCCATCTCTGTAGCTGATGTCACGGCCTCGGCCTCACCGCCTGTTGGAGTGGGAGTGGACCCTGCTTCAGAGATGGTAGATGTCGACGATTCTCCGATTTTTGTAGAACCTACAGTTTTGGATCCCCCTACGATGCCGAGTACTTCGTCTGAGTTGGAGCGCACAGGGAGCGAGGGGGCGCTCCCCTCACCTCCCGTGGCATCGGAGGACTTTTCTCCGGCACCGCCTACTCAGGAGCCGGCCAGAGCCGTTTTGCAGTGCTTTGCAGGTCAAGCTCGTGTGGCTTCGGCCTTGATTAAGCAGGGCTATTTTTCCTATGGAGTGGATCGATTCAAGCAGAAGGCGGCCATGGCCCCAGTGCTTCAGATGGACTTGTCGACGCGGGAGGCGTGTGACTCTGTCCTAACATGGCTTGACAACCGGAAGATCGCGGGTGTTATGATATGTATTCCTAAACACGCCTCGGAGCCTGTTACTACGGCTTTCGTCCTGGCAGTGATGGCAGGGTGCTTGAGCAACAACCTGCCCATGGTTCTTGAGGGTTCGGTGTCTTCCCCCTTCTGGGAGAGTTTCAATCGTTTACCATCAGCACAGCACCCTCCGCATAGAGTGGAGGTGGATTGGCAGCTTTGGGACTCACATAGCAAGCAGCGCAGCCTCGTGTGGTCTAATTTGCCCGAAATCCTCACTGTGCGCAGGGAGGCGGCACCTATGGGACATAAGGTGCAGCAGCGATCGGAGGCGCAGACAGGTTATCCGCCGGCTTTTGCCACGGCGATAGCTGAGGTGTTCATTGCAGGTTTGACTCAGCGACAGCTGCCATGCCGCAGCCCGGCCTTAGCCAACAAATCGCTGCGAGTTTCGGCTATGAATCAGCCACGTGGGGCGATGCCGGAAGTGGTGTCTGAGTGGAAGTTGGTGGTTTATGTCCTTCTGCCACCGCAGGTTGAGGACCCGTTTGGCGGGTCGAAACGCCTCAAACGGGACTGGCGAGTCCCGCACGGCGCCCGCGTGTTGCCGGAGCTCAAGCTGCTCCCGCAGGATTCCCAGCTTCTGTCGCGTACTCAGTCAGGGGGGCAATTGAGCCCGCAACTTCAGCAGGAAATGCAAAACTTGAATGGAGCCTCAGTTTTGCGAGTGGGCATCCCATGGGATCCCATTGAATTCATTGCTAAAGCAGGTAAGATTGGACACCCATACCATAAGTTATCCAAGTGCAACAAGGATCTCAGAGACCTCGTTCATGACTTAGTACACAAACCGGGACCGGTTCGTTCTCAGAGGAAGAATTACATCGAGAAGTGGGCAAGAAGAGCCAAAGAGTTGGAACCAGAGGAAACCAAGCTGAAAGCTGGCATGTCGGATCACAGAAGGAAGATCCTTCAACCCAAACGTATCTTGCTATTTGAAGAGATGCTACGAGACATTGGGTATGACGATATGGGTGTGGTTCAGGAGCTCATCGACGGAGCCACGCTGACGGGGGACATTCCTATCACTGGGGTGCTGGATACCAAGCTCAAGCCTGCTAGGTTGGATACTGAACAACTTATAGGGATGTCTGATGAAATCAGACAGCAGATCCGGGTGAAGACTGGGTCGTCGGGTGATAAGGAAATCGACCAGCTGTTGTGGGATAAGACGATGGAAGAGGTACAGAGTGGATACCTCTCAGGACCTTACGATTTCGAGTCATTGCCGAAAAGATGTTTGGTCAGCTCCCGTTTTCCGTTGCTACAAGGGGAGAAGCTGCGACCAATTGACAACTACTCATCGAGTTTGATTAACGACACGGTCACAGTGTCTGAAAAGCCTATCACGCACTCTATCGATGAAATTGCATTGCTGATAAATACGCTTTCGAGTGCTGCCCGAAAGAAGAACCTGAACGCATTGTACGGGAAAACGGCGGATCTGAAGGGAGCTTACAGACAATTGGCGGTATCTGATACAAGCTTAGATTTTTCTTACCTCTCGGTCTACGACCCGGCAGAGGAGAAGCCCAAGTTGTTCCAACAACTAGCTGTGCCCTTCGGCTCAACCAAGGCCGTGTATTTTTTCCTCAGAGTGGCGAGAGCTCTTTGGACTATCTTGGTCAAAGGGGCCAGAATCCCGACCACGAATTATTTCGACGACTTTGTTCTGCTCGCTCTTGGAGGAGATAGGAGTTCGTGTTCGCATGCTTTCGATGAAGTTATGAGGCTGCTAGGTTGGAAGCTGTCAGCTGATAAGACGACAGAGTGGAACACTAGCTTCGAGGCCCTTGGCGTCCTTTTCGAGCTTGACCAGACAGGGTCGGGAGTTCTGAAGGTCAGGAACACTGAGAAACGACGAAAGGAACTTACTGCTGCGATCAAAGGTTTCCTGGACAAGGGAACCATGACTCAGAAGGAAGCGCTACAACTGCGGGGTAGGCTGCAGTTTGCTCAAGCCCAGTTTTTCGGTAGGCTGGGAAGAAGGTGCCTTACGGAGGTGACAAAGCATGCCTACACTGGCAGGTCGAAGCTTTCGTCGATTGCCAAGGAACGACTTGAAGAGTTTGGTAAGTTCCTTGACATGGCCCAACCGAGGTTAGTGGGACAAGTTTCATGCAGGACTTTTATGATCCTGACCGATGCGGCGTTTGAAACGGAGTCAGGAACTGGAGGCCTGGGGGGCGTCCTTCTCACCGGGTCAGGCTCGGCACTCTCTTTCTTCAGCGTGCCGATCTCAGAGCAGCAAGCCAAGTCTATGTCGTTGCAAGATGAGCATACCATCATATACGAGCTCGAAATGTTCGGGGTCTTGATCGGTCTCAAGCTCTTGGTCGAAAAGACAGCTGCTTTCGCAGAATCATACGAACAGCCAGGTGCTGTTGCTGGAACTGGAGTGATTTGTTATATCGATAATGATGCTGCGAGACATGCATACATCGCCGGCTCTTCGAAGAAAGAGGTTGCTGGGATTCTTATCGATGAAGTCAATTTCCTGGAGTATGTCCACGGCATCTTGCCGTGGTATGCGAGAGTGGCATCACCCGCCAATCTGGCTGATGAACCATCGAGGATGAAACTTGATAGAGTCAAGAGGCTAGGATTCAAAGACGAGTCCGTCGAGGCGACCAAAGCGGTGTTATCAATTGTGAAGAGAGTTTCTTATCTGCCTGCTTAACACTGCGACTCCTGAAAGTGGGGACGAAAAGAGTCTTGTGTCTCACAGGACCGACAGTTCGAAGATTTCTGCCGTGTGCGGTACTTGCTACCCCACCGTGTGAAAATAGCGTTGAGCTTGAACTCTCTGCATGCGACATGTGCGAGTGCAAGCATTCATACCTGGAGGTTCAAACACAATTGACATACAATCGACATCTTAATACAAAGCACGATCTTTGAACAGTAAGTTTCGTTCTTTGAACACTTGCAGAAGATAGAGCTTTATTGTTCAAAGAAAAACAACATGACAAAATGACTTAGAGAACTAAGTCCAATTTTGATTTGTTGTTTTAGGGTTTTCCTTTTACACTGCCCATTTTATTTCTACCCATTTATACATGCTGTAAACCAGTTGAAGAATACATTCGTCCGTTGCAGCTTGACCTCTCGAAGGGCCAGGAAGCCCTGAATCGGGCGAGAGTTTTATTTGAAATACCCACCCTCTCCACCCTAATTGATTCGTGGAAAGTGCAGAGATTGCATCAGTGTTGTGCTACCTCAGGAAGCTTTGGACCTCAGTTTGAGGACACTCAGGTATGCTTTGTGTATAAGACCTGGTTCGGGTCTTGGCTCTCTGCTTCGCAGTTTGCTCGGTCTTGCTCGTCTTCGACTGGCAGGCCGTTCACTAAGGTTCAGTTTGTGAGCCGTGCACGGCTTGAGAGTGGCTAGTTCTCCTTTCGGAGGGGACGAAAAGAGTCTTGTGTCTCACAGGACCGACAGTTCGAAGATTTCTGCCGTGTGCGGTACTTGCTACCCCACCGTGTGAAAATAGCGTTGAGCTTGAACTCTCTGCATGCGACATGTGCGAGTGCAAGCATTCATACCTGGAGGTTCAAACACAATTGACATACAATCGACATCTTAATACAAAGCACGATCTTTGAACAATAAAGAAGAAGCTTGGGTGACTTTTGGGTTTGTGCAGGTTCGGGCTCTGTTGAAGGAAACCAAAGCCAATGGTTCAGAACAGGAATTTCTGGACAATGCTCCAGATGCGTCTGTATTTTGTGGTCTGTGTGTGTGTGTGTATGTGGTGCACTTGTGCTTCTGCAGGTGTGTGTGCGCGCTAATGGTGTTCAGAATAAATCTTTCAAAAAAATGTCCTTTTTTGGAAGTGTAGTGTGGGTTTTTTGTGTTCATGTGTGTTATAGGTTTTCGTGTGTGTCTGTCCATTGTGCGTGTTCTGTGTGTTGGGTTGACGAGACCTTCTTCACCAAGAAGAAGAAGAATGCAGGTGGATTTCAAGGCAGAACTACCTCAGGTCACAGGACAATTTTTTTGGAATTGGATCTGGGTACTAGACAGGCGACCGGAGCCTGTGCCTTGATTACTATTCCAGACCGCAAAATGAAGACATTAAAGGCGCAGATTGAAGCACATGTGCAGCCTGGCTTTTTGATTTTTACAGATCGCCACAAGTCCTACTCATTCTTGTCGCGCAAGAACAGTGGCTATGTTCATCGTGCCGTCAACCACAAACAAGGAGAATTCTCCCGTGTGGAGAAAATCTTTGGACAAGACATCAATGATCAAGGACTGGCAAGACAATCATCCTCAACGGCAGCATGCGCTTTGGAAGAGAACTGTAGCCCTGTAGGCAGTGTGAGATGTAGGGTCGCTCACTTCAGTTTTGGGATGCTTCGAGGTTTAGTCTGCGTCCTAGTTGAGAAAATTCCGTGCCACTCAGGTGCACCTGCCTTTGGGAGAGGCCGATGTTCCAGAGGATGCTTTGCAAGACTTCAAGTCGATGCTAGAGAATGAATCGGATGCGGAGGATGCCGGACAGCAGCCGCCCCCACCCAGCGGCCCTGACAATGCGCCGGCTGCGGTGCTGGCGGCTCCCATCGGCCTTGACAATGCGCCGGCTGCGGTGTCGGACTCTGGAAATCAGGTCGCGGTCGAAGGTCCAGCCAACGTCAAGAAGGAAGAAGAAAGCGACAGTGATAGAGGTGGTCTACATCAAGCCTGCTTCCAAGAAGGCGCGCCGATCCAGGACCAAGGTCAAGGAAGAGCAGGTGGCCGACACAGCTCCATCTTTACCTCTTGCTTCGTCTTCTTCTCGGACTTCTCGGCCCTCTCGGGGCTTATTTTGCAGCCAAGGACACGGTTTGCAGTTGCGTGAGCCGACGCAGAATGTGATCCTAAGCAAGCGCAAATATGCGTGGTTTGAAGCAAACTGCGACGTGTGTGGTAAAGATTTGACAGGGCACACGACGTACAGGTGTGATCTCTGTGATTTTGATCTTTGTCGTGCCTGCGCGCGTGAAGCTTAAGTGACTGTATGTACTGTCTTGTCATGCTTTTGTGCACCACTCTTGATGCTGTCGCGCAACACGCGTGCATCGACTGGAGTGATTGGAGTCGGTTGGAGTCCTACGCAGCAGCGACAAGCAGTAAAAATGAGATCAGTCTCCGGCTTCAAGTCTTCAAGTTCGTGCCACGGGTTGGAAGACATGGACCACACCGAACCCATGGTGTTTGCAGTTTGCGGCGGTGTTGGCTTTGAAGCCAGATTCGTTGGAAAGAGGAGCATCGTTGGGCGCCTGCAATGCAGAATTGCTTTGGCACGCAGGTGGATGAGATTTTTCCACACATTTCTTGTGTAGAGCGCTTGCTTCTTGGAAAGGGCAGCTTTGTTTTGGCGTGAGAAGTACGCACATTTGTTTTGGTGTGGTTGGAGCATGTTTCGAAACCATTTCACATGTTGTCGAAACTTTTCCGCAAGCCACAGCCTACCGGGAGCCAGTTCTAATGTTTAGAAAGCTGCAGTCCATGGCTCAACGGCTGCCGAACAAACGCAGCGAGGAAAATTTGCGGTGGGTGCCCGCTCTCTGTGGGTGCTGTGTCCCTTCACTTTTCCTCATGTGAAGTGCAATTCACAATTCGCTCAGTCTCTGCAAGGCTGTGTGTGTTGATCGTGAGACCTGCAAAGACGATTTATGTGGGTAGAAGCCCAGTGTAGTCTTCGAAGTGCTCGAGCAGCCCTTTCCTGCGCCAGGCCGTTTCCTGCTAGAGGTCGTTTCTGTGCAATGGCTGTTTCCGGCATTGGCTTGTTTCTGACCAGACGTCACCTTGCAAAACTGGGGGGACCTTATCCTCCTGCAAGAGTTTTCTGGTCAGAGGCAGTTTCCTACCAGAGGCCGTATCTCTCAGGAGGCCGTTTCCTACGAGAGGCTGTTCACCCGCCGAGCATGCATGTGCGCTGCGGCAAGCAGCTCTGAGGTATGTGCTGGCAACAGAACAAGTGGCGGTCCCAAGTCCACCGCCTCCGCACAGGTCGTAGCCGTAAAAACGTCAATGAATAAGGAGAAATTGCTGCGGCATGCTTGAGGGTGGTGACCTTCCCTGGCGCAGACAGCGTCGAATCCTGCTCGCGGACCCAATCAGAGAGGAGGGGAAGCTGCTCCATGTCACTCGACTGAAGTCTATCATTTTGATCAGTCAGCTCCGTTGACGAGGCGGCGTCTCGTGTGCCATGAATCGGCTGCACCAATGGCAATTCAGAGTGCGCTACGCCCCGGATACCTCCTTTTTTCGTGGGAGCCGGTCAATCCTGGAACTGCGTGCCACCTCCACCGTGGGTTGTTTCGGGTCCTCTGTGCGTGTGAGCAAGATTTGTCCGCAGCTTTGGTGACATTGACAGATTCGGAGTCCCTCATCGAGAACCAGGATGAGCGCGGACCACCGGCAGCTCAACTGCTGCGCTTCCGATCCCTGCGTGACCAAGAGGATGCGTGCCTCATCCAGAGGGCGGTGGGGCATCATCATCTCCCGCGCTAGGCAGTGGCCATTCCTCCAGCAGTGAAGGCAGCTTTGCCCCTGTCTTTGCCTTTTTGCTTTGCTGAGAGGCACTGTCGAGAATGACTCCTGCTTGTCTGACCAGCAGCAGGCGACGCACTACGTAGGTGCGTCTGCCAACACATTCTGCGAGTGAGAACGGCGAGCAGTGCCGCATGCTGCTAAAGAGGTTCAAACCACTGGGAGTCCAGCACGGCATCGCAGGGTACGGCAAGGAGAAGAGAAAACGTCTTGGAAGCCCTTGGGCAGCCAAGATGTTGAGAGAGCTGCGATTGGTGCCTCTCGCCAAAAGAATTGCGTGGATGTGGCCAGCAACAATTCTCCGGCGAGCAGTGGGATTTCGAAGCTTAGCAATCAAGTCAGAGTCCTTGAAGCGGAATTGTACACCATGGCGTGAAGAAGGGGCTACGAGCTCCAGACTGGTGCCGAAGGCTGTTCGGTGGGGCGGTTGTCGTCCTGGCTTACTCCCCTGGCAGCGTTTTCGTGTGGCTCTCTTATGATGTGTGGTTTTCACGACGTAAGAGAGCGGAGGGAGCTGTTTAGAGCCTTCTGTTTTGTTAGAGAAGACTTTCATTCCTGATTCTGAGTTTTGATTCGCTTTCAACCCACCCCGGCAGTGTTTTTGTGTGCCTTTCTCCTTTTGATGTGTAGTCTTCGCTGCAAAAAAGAGCGGGAGGGGGGTTGGGGGTGCCAGGAGGGGCCTACTTGAAGCCTTCTTGTTCCTTATTTCTTTGCTTGAACCCCCGTGAAGTGTTTTCGTGTGGCTCTCTCCTTCTTACGTGTGGAAAAACGTTTCTCTGAGGTTTTTTGCGGGTTCAGGGTGCGAAGGGGCTGCATGCGGCCGGCTCGAAGGGGGGGGGGCAAAAAACCTCAACCTGAACCTGAGGTTGTGGGTTCGGGTTAACCCCAAGTCTAACCTGAGGTGGGGTTAACTCCAACCCCAACCCCGAGTTGGGGTTGGGGTTGACCCCAACCCTAACCTCGACTCCAGGGTTTCCGTTGAGGTTAACCCGAACCCAACTTCAGGTTGAGATTTGGGGTTAACCCGAACACAGCCTGGGGTTGGGGTTGGGGTTTAACCCGAACCCTAACCTCAAGTTAGGGTTGGGGTTAACCCGAACCCACAACTCGCCTCGCATTTTTTGGCTTCGATCCCGATTCAGCTGGCCGGCCTTGTTGCCAATGCATGCTTCACACGCGGACCACCTCATCTGGATTTGACCTCCGACATGCTTCATCCTTCCAATGGACTTGTGGACTTTGGTGTCCACAGCTGCGACGGAACGGGGTCAAGGGGGTCGCTCGTTGTCCGACGGGACTAGAAGACGGCCGGACTGCTGAGCCAGGCCATAGCAAAGTAGAAGACTGAACGGCTACGGCCGGCCAAGTCTGCTCGCCGCAGTCCTTTAGTTGCTTTGCGTTTCTAGGTCATTGAACTCTTGTTTCACTGTTTTTTTCGCTTTGTTTGTTTTCGTGGTTTAGTTAGAGATTGAGTGCAGCTGATGCTTTCTACAAAGCCCGAGCAAGCCAAAGAAAAAGATCGCTGCGGCTGATGGAGTTCTCGATGAAACACCTTTAAATTGCCTGAAGTTGTTCCAAAATGCCTGAACATTGACTCTAGGGAGCAAGGGGCCCTCTTGACATGAATCTAATTGACTGTGTCTTCTTGGAAACTGTTTGTGGCTACGCTCGCCCCACTTCTGCACCTGCGCAATGAAAGTGCCTGTGTCGTTTTGAAAAACGAAAGCAAGAAACACAGTTTTCAGTGCCGCACAGATGAAGTTCAACCAGCGGAGAGGTCACGCCATTTTTTTGCAGGTTTTGTGCCACTACGGCTTTTTGCTCTTCTCACGTTGGTACCAAGCCCTTCTCAAGCTCCGGGCTGCAAGTCATAGGATTTAACACGAATGAACCTGGTACAAAACATTCTGCAGTGTTTGGTTGAGTTTGTGCAGCAGCAGAATGAAGCACAGAAAACGAAATCTTGGCATTGTTGGAACTGGGTTTGTGCAAAAAGATGGGAATCTTAAACGGCTGGAGTTTGTTGCGTTGAGCAGCAAGTTTGATTGGCTTGGCCTTGGCAAAGCTTCAACAACGGCTTTCGACTTTGGTTGATGCCTTTTTGTTGGTTTGGTTCGAGATAATTGCTGCATAGGAGAATGCTGTGGTCAGTGAAGCCCATGATGTCTTTAAAGTTTTAAAGCTCCAAACCATGTTGTTAGCCACAGATCTTGCCCGGCGATAGATCTGTTTTTGAGAAATTTGGCCGTGTGCTTGACTGAATTTGCTACAGATCATTTCGTTTTCTTTGTTTGGTCTGTCGGTTTGTTTTCTTTCGATGTTTTTCGTCGATGTGCTTTTGTCTTTCGCCGTTTGATTCTCGGCCGCGAAATATTCACAACTGATTCCCTGTCGAATCTACATATGTATTTCCGGGAGTGCAGGAAGTGAAGTTCGGTTACGTGCCCTTTTCGCGAACAGAATCCCGTTTGGCAGAGGTGTCAACAAGAATTTGGACCGTTGACGCAAATGATGGATTGCATTCTTGCCGAATTCACGTTCAGCAGAACATGAGGGAATACATGTTTAATCACAGCGGTGAAACCGTAATGACACAATGCACGGCGTTCCTACGTGGTTACCACGCGTGGGCCAAGATTTTTTCGGTGTGAAGGGCAGCATCACCGCAACATAGGACAGGTTTGCGCAGTGCTATGCGCCAGTAGAAGCTGCATTTTTTTAGTCACTTCGTGGTGTTAGTGCAATGAACTGCACACTGATGTTCAGCTTATGTGCTGCCTTCCTGGCCGCTTGCATCTCCGGGTTCACGGCTGAGCATTTGTGGCTTCGCAGTGGATGCAAGAAGGAGCCAAGTAAGCTGCAACCGCAAGTGCAGCTTCAGGTGGCTACTTTTCGTCATGATGCCTCACTACTTGTTTGCGGTTCCGCTGCCGGTTGCTTGCAGGGAGTACCTTGCACGTCCCAATGGCAAAAGTACTGTACGTCGGACGTAAAGCTTGTAGTCCACACTGCTGCCTGATGCCAGATTGTCATCTTGATGACGTTGATGACGTGTTTTGCCGGCTTGTACATTCCATATCGCTGCACCAGGCGAGAAAGAGAGAAATAGGGAGGGACAGAGTGTTGCAAAGTGTGTGGCCACAGCAGCTGGGCCCACATGATTGACATGCGGCATGTCGGTTTGCTTCTACTTCTTAGTTCCCATGGGAGGCAGCGCCTGTGGCTTGTCATGCCCACGACGAACCTCATCTGGTCTACAGTGCTTTCGATCGCGGCTGAGAGCCCAGACTTGCTGGCAATCGTTGAATCATGGGAATCATGTATACATACATATATATATACACACACATAACAGTGTAATGTATGAGAGATACTAGATATGCAATGTGTTTCAGGTGAACGCAGCAGTTATTGCCATTGACAGCACATTTGTCACCGAGGCGCATGCGCAATGTTGCATGTGTGTTCATTTTGCAAGTTGCGGGCTTTTCCTTTGATGCCCTTTTGATTGTGCCAACACTGGAGTTTGCTGGTTTTTTTGGAACATCACGTCTGCAGCACTTTCATCGATTTTGGCAAACTTGACGCCAATTGTGCACAGGTTTACAACATGGCAGATATGCTGGACAACATGGTGCGGCTGTTGGTCGCAATGGCCGGCCTAGCTATGGTGCCGTCCTGAATTCGCTGCATAGAGCTGCGGTCCGCATCTCTCGATGATGCATGCGCCAGCAGGGAGTCAGCATGGATTTCTTCCTCGTTCATTACCTGTATGCTCACGAGGCCAGGGAACGGTGTAAGATGCTGCTTCGTGGTTTCTGTTCACATCCCATACTTGAACCAGAGCCGCCACTACACTTCGCTGCACATTTTGCAGGGCCGTTTGGCCGTACGTTTCCGTATCCCGAGCTTTGCATCAGTCGGGGGCTTTGCACGTGGTCACGATTACAGCAGGCACCTGAAATCCGACGTCTGAAGAGAAAGGCATGCCACCCAGCCCATTCGCAAAACATGTGGCATTTGCAAGATGTTTTGCATGCGAGAGAGACAGGGTAGATCCGTGTTGCAGAGGTGTGGAAAATGCTGGTGGGTGGACCTTCAGCGCAGCTGGTTGAATGTGACAACTTAGCCGAGCACCCATTGGCCGTTGACATTTAGGGGTATGCGTTGCTCTAGCTGCAGGCCACATCATGTCCTGGCGACTGTGCAATCTGCTTGCGGCTCAGCATAGTTTCGATCGAAACCGCTGGTTCTATCACTTCCGAAACCTTTCACACAGCGACAGCGGCAGGTTTGGAGCCGCTGTCAGAGCTGAGAGACGGATGCTCGGAGGGCTTCTTTGCTCTCTTCGCTTAAACCGCCCCGCACTTTCCTCCGAGGAGGACTTGGCCTTCAGCCCACAGCGTGGTTCCAAGGCCCCTCGCAAGTTTCCGGCCTCGGGGGGGCTTCTGAAAGGGCTCTCTGTGGGAAGGTTTCGCAGCTGGCAGGGCTGCCCTGGCCCCAGTGGCCTCCCTCCATGGCTCCTTCATGGCTCGCTTTCCGAAGCTCCGAGCCTCGCCTGCGAGGCTGCAGCTACCATGTGGCCACGCCTTTCACGGAGAGTGTGCAGATAAATGGATGGTGCGTGAAGTGGCCTGGCTGAAGAGCTGCTTTCAGTTCTGATTCCTACGTCGTCCTGTCTCGAGGTCAGCTGTCCCATGTGCAGAAAATCTTTCGGGAGCCTTCGCCACTGTCGCAGGAGTCCTGACTTGGAGTTTTGCCACTGTTGAATACATACACAAGCAGAGGTAATCGGGGCTCGACTGCTCTGCAGGGTCAAGTTGAAACATGTGGGCAGCTCGTCCCTACCGGGCTGGTGCTGTGATCTGACGCCTCGGCACAGCTCAAGTGCACAGGATTTGTTTGCGGCCAGGGGCCCATTTCGCATCGCCAGGTGCGCGACTGAGAAGTATCTCAAGGTTTTTAGCAAGTTTTCAGCTGCTTGGGCCCTGTGGTGCAGAGGAGGGACCACTCCGAGCACACCTTCGGTCGTCGATGTTACGGCCATATTCACAGCGACCCGTCCAGCAGACGTAGCATCAGATTCTTCGGCACTGTTTCTGACCTTAGCCGCAAGGAAGAGGAGGGCTCAGACGAGTGCCCAGATCGCTGTGAGTCTCAGCCGGTATCCCGGAACAACTGAGATAAAGACTGAACAGCCCTGTTGTTGGTTCGTAAGGCCCAACCCCAACCGGGTTGACGTGCAAGTTCTCGGCGTGATTCTTAGCGTGTTGTGGCTTTGACGCATGTCTCTGGACATAACTCATCATGATGTAGCATATTGCGCGAGTACAACATCGAGATGTATTGCAAGGTAGTAGTATATATATATATATATATATACATACACAGCCATGCCTTTGCTTTCTGCACTTTGCTTTCTGGAGGCCGATGTTTGGATGTCGAAGACGAGGACTCCGAGTTTCCATTACTTAGGGGTGCCATGGACATGAAGACCTCTGCAGCAGCACTTACGGGCGGGTGCAGCCCCGTGGCCTTCATCCGGAACGCATTCGCTTGTCCCCTGCTATCGAGGAGGAAGCTTGGAGAAGGAAGAAGGTGGTGTCGATTTGAGAACCTGTCTGCAATTCAAGCCACAAGCACCAAAGCCGCTGTCGTGTTTCGATATGTAATGGGTGCTTTCCAAGTTGAATTGCAGCAGTTTAGCAACTTTTTAGTGCAGCAGAAGTCTTTGAGTGACCTTGCGAAGCAAGGGTGCCTTGGACTTTGTGGTCGGCAGCAGCCCTGTGTCATTGGTCAATCGACCGACACTCTGGTTTTGCTGGTTTCCCGTGAAGCTGCTCCGTGTCGTCATGGCACACAGCCAGAACCAGCTCAAAGGCACCTCCCCAGGAGTGCAGCATTCGGCCACGCATACTCCTAGTCTCATTTGTCCAGCTCCCCTGGTCTCTTTTGATGCCTTACTCCGGTTCTGCACGTCCATGTGCGATGCAAAGATCGTCCCGACTTTCGCCCGCCGGGGATAGCATGGGTGGGTCGCAGATCTCGTCCTGCAGAGCACAAAATCGATGCACGCTTGCACGCTTGCAGCTTAGCCTTGTGCTCGGTGTCCGTGTCTTGGGGTTTTGAACGGTTTCCACCTTTTTGAGAGTGTTATCATGCTTCATGATGTCGAGTTCGACAGGGCGGAGAGTCGCCAAACTTGTGCAGCACCCAAATAGACAGGTGCCGAACAGGGGAAAATTTTGAAAGTGTGCTTTGAAAAGATGCAGATAGATGCAGACAACTCAACCGGTACTGTCCGTGGCAGCTCGTCGAGGGGTCCCCTATTTTCGGAATCTCCCAGGCAGCAACTTCAGGCAATCGGGCTGAACGGAGCCGGGCATGAGCTGATCGTAAGCCATGCTGGCGGACACAAATGGTGCCAGCAAGACACAGGCCAGATGCAGATCCCGTGTTCGGGGCGTGAGGACACAATCCTATCTCGCTTGCACAGACATCATGGGATGTGCGCAATCGCGACCTTCAAACAGGCAGCCGCTCCGTGCATTCAGACTTCCTCGAGATTCCTCGAGCGCCGATCCCACGACGTATCACTTAACATTGTAGCGTAGAGCACGTCTGGCAAAGATTCGTACAGCAGGACCCAGCATGTCATCGGAGATCCGTGAGCAGTTTTCATTGCTGCTGCACTTCGCCAACGCGTGGCGACTTCGATCGGGTAGCCCGGCATACCCATGCATAGGCATAGTGTGTGGAAGCCTGATGCCTGCGCCTAGCCCACTTCAGCAAGAGTTGCGGTACATCCACTCTCCTGCTCGCCGAATTGCGCGTCATCTTCGACGGGGCTCAAGGGTTTCGTTGACCTCGGCCTGCTGTGACAGAAGGTCGGCCTGCTCCTGGCACAAATTGGAGGGTCTTCCTGTTTCAGAGACGGTTGGAGGCCACAGGTTCTTGGCTAGCTGCCTAGCCATAATGTGGTACGGGTACCAGGAAAATTGTAGTACATCCGCTGCGCTCCTACCAGAAGTGTCATGAGGGCAGATTTCGTGCACACTAGTTCGGTGTTTGTTGCAGCAAGCGAGTATTCAGTGTGTCGGTAATGTAGGCATGTTTTAACAAGATCAGAATAGCACAATAGTACAATAGTGCAATACGAAAAGACCGACGTACAATTTGTCCATATCTCTGTAATTCTGATGTGTGAGTCGAAGATTCATAAGGACTTATGCTCCAGCGCTCTCGCAGCGGCTTGTCCTTTGTGGACCCCGACGCCGGCCTCGAGAGTCTTTCAGAAATCGTGTCAGGCAGGTGGATTGGGCAAGGAAAGTTGGATGCCGACATGATAGCATGGACTCTTGAATGTGCGGGCTTTCCGAAAGATTTGCTGTTACTGACCAGGCTCTGTGGACCTTGCCGTTCTCGTAGGCATGCTTGTCCTTGCGCACAGCATTGGTTGCACATCCGCCACGACCGAAGAACATAACTCGCCGATTGTGCACTATCCAATCGGGGCAATCACGCTAAAGACCGGTGGATTTTCTGAAGGTGTCCGGGGAGGTTTCGCAACATCAACTCCCAAACCCTAAAGATGAAAGACGTTACCTCCCAATAGAGGGACGGGTCGCCCTACCTCTTATGGTGTAGGCCCCCTACATTTGCAAGTTCTTGTGGTGTTGTAGCTCGGATGACCGAAGCAGGCGTCCTAGACGACCCATGTGCGAGCCAAGTGCAGCTCACACGAAGACAAAAGCTTCGAGAGCCGCTTGGGCGATGATGCACGCTTTAGCTGTGTTTCTTAAAGCAACCATAGATGGACTCACCTATTTCGTAACATTGTTGTAGTATTGTTGTGATGGTGGTTGCTGCAGTTTGCTGTTGTTCCTCAAAGGGCATGGCAACGCCATGGTGTTTTTGCGTTCGGAGTGCAGGGAATTTGGTTATCGAGGATGCAAGACGCGTGCTTGCGCCAGCGGCTCTGGCTTTTGCCTGGTGCACATTTTCGATTGGGATGCACAGTCCTGATCCATTGCTTTAGGCATCCACGGAACTCGAGGAACCCCCATCCCAGCAGAGTGCCGTGTGTATTTCGAGGCTATTAGCTTAGCTTGGCACATCTTGGCACGCACATCTGGACTCATGGGAGCACGAATATAGCTATTGACATCATAGCTAATTTCTGCTGAACTAGAACGGAAATGTGTTGATTGATATTTCAAGAGGTTGTAGATGTTATTCTCAGACTCTTGTTGGTATCGTCAGTGTCAACAATATTGCAAACATGATCACGGCTCTCAGCGTCATGGTACACTTATCTCTTATGCTCTTGGAGGCTCCGTAGTATCAGCAGGCTTTGACGTAATATTGTCAAGATTGCTGACGCTGAACTTATCTCATGTTGTTGGGATTGACAGGCTCATGTTCTCAAATATAAAGAAAACACGTCTAATTTGTCCTGCAAGGACACACGTGCTTGCTTTCATTTTAGATTCGGGTTGTACTTGTAATTATGAGTCAGTCCAACCTGCATGTTTTCTTTTGTGTCATCCTGTGTTTTGACAGCAGGAGTCCTTTGTACAGCGTTATCAATAGTCGTATGGGGTCGATATTGCCAACATGTATAATCTATGTTGACATGCCCTGTGTATCCTCACGGCGAGCTTTGCTAATATTACTGATAACGTGTAAACACTGCTGGGAGAAATTACGGTACTGCCTTGCATTGGCAGCGCGGAGCATTGGCCGTCAGCTGTACGAATCTTGCCAGATGTTTGAATGCCCCAGCTGACCACTGCCAGTATACCTAGAATGTAGTGCTGTTATTGTTGGTTGCGCGGGGGCCAGTGCTGCTAAGGTGAATATATAAAGTTCCAAGATTTTTGTTTTCAATCAAGAGTTGAAACATCATGGTCCAGGGCTGCTTCAGCACGTTCTCAGACGTTGTCGGTGTCCTCGGACCTGTTTCTCCATACAATGCATGTCAAGATGCATGAGGTTCTTGGTGAAGCACGGGTTCTCAGATGCCCCCGGCTCAGGGGGTCTGGAGTGAACCGAGAGGTCAAGCCGTCAAAGTGAGGCCAGTTTTCATTATTTGCCGAGTCACTGCTCCAAGCTGCTCCGCTGCTCCGAAGGTGGCGGAACCCCGCCTGCCTGCTGGCTGCAGCTTCTTCTCCGAGGAGAGCGCTGCTTGGCACTGCGAAGTCTTGTCGCCGGATGCGGATGGACGCTGCATGTGCTGAGTCCACTCACTCGTATCTCCCCGAGAAACGGCTCTGGTTCTGTTAGGCAGTTTTTGTTGCAGCATTCGTTGGTGGTCCTGTGACAGACTTCGCTATTGGGTGACGACGCCGTGCTGCGCCTGCTCTCCAGCCGAGGTCTACCCAATCCATGTAGCAGCTCGCCTCTGTGACGACAAGATCATCCGCGCATTGCTGGCTGAAGGAGCTGTGGCCAAAGTCCAAACACGCTGTTGGGATTTGGAAGTTTCCGAAAATTAGAGGTACCTTAGTTTGGGGTCCTTGTAAGAAGGATCCTGCTATTCAGGGTACTATATTAGGGTCCCCTACTTGCGGAAACTCCCATTTGGTTGTCATGGTGCAAGACTTCGTCGTCAAGAGCTTCAAGATTTTGAAGTCTTGCCTGAAGTTCATGTGTTTGGAGCCGTCAGGTGCAGACCCAATGCAGCGGACCTCCCGCGGTCGGACAGCCGAGGACTTCGCCCAAAAGGGTCGCGGTGACAGCACCGAGGCAGGCTCTCGGGGTCTCAGCGAACGCAGAGTAACGTGCAGCGTGCTGCTGCCGACTTATTGACATGGCACGCGATTTCTAGATGCTCGACACTGGATGAAGTTTCAAGTTGCTTCGGTTGCGGAGGTCGTGGCGCTTCTGCGGAGCCACGCCGGGAGTAAATCTCCGACCTGGGTGAAGAGACAGATGTAGTATTGATTCGGGTCGTCGAGACCCGACACACATTCCAGCGCCTTTGCTTGCGAGCCAATCAGCGAGAAGCTGGTCGTGGCCGCAGGCCGCAAAAGTCGTTTAGATCTAATCCCGGATTGCCTCAGTGTGTTGCTTCGGCAGTATGTACAGTGCATTGCCGTCGCGCTAGGCTCGAAATGAACATCTTTTGTGCACGATAGATATCCACAGCTCCGATGAGTTGCTGTAGCATTCTTAGTCTCTTATAGAGGCACTTGCTGTGCTTGGCATTTGAGCGTGTGAACGGGCATCCGCGGTTCCTTCCTTTTGGTTCCGAGAAACTTACGGCCCGGGTCCGAAGTCCCGGCCTCGGAACCTGATCGGCGACACTTCCATCTACGCCGCTACTACTAGTACTACTACTACTACTACTACTACTACTACTACTACTACCACTACTCCGACGACGATTGCCAGTACTACTGCTACTGCTACTACTACTACTACTACTACTACGACGACGACGACGACTACTAAGACGATTTCTGCTGCCTTTACTACCACTACTACTGCTGAAACTACCACTACTAACTTCGATCGTTTGTGCAAGTTAACACTGCACGAGCAGTTGTGTTCCTCGTGATGCACGCATCGTTTGGACATTGCGATGATACTTCCGGGACAAGGGTATGTAAAATCCTGACTATACCCTTGCAATAACCCTTCTAGTATCTTATAGTACCCCATACAATGAACTGTTGACATGGCCTACTTGGGGCAGGTTGATGTCCTCTATGTCATGAAGTAGCACAGGGGGTGTGCGAGTTGCTGACCCTGCTCCGCAAGAATCAGTCTTCAACACTTGTGTACAGATCATTCAGTTTTCAAATCGCAATGTCTGAGTTAGCAGTAAAAAGCTGACAGCAGCCATCTTTTTGGAATGCGGTTAAGAAGTGGCAGAGCGCAGGATGTCTGAGCGCTCCCGTATTCGGATTCAGCTGAATCCCGCTGCTTGTCCTGTTTGCATAGAAGAGCATAATCTCCCTATACTTCAAAATCTTTAACCTTAACCCAGAACCCAAACAGAATCATGTCAAGCAGCCTGCTCGCTGCCTTTTCGGGCTGGTTTTCCTACGGCGAGAACAGGCAAAGCACCGTAGACATTTATTCACTGGAAGGCCGGGTAGCATGGGAGCCAAGAGGCGAGCAGCAGGAAAGCCTTTAGCATCTTTGTAGTTTAGTATCTTTGCAATAATATCATAATATACGATAATGTATTATAATGTACTATAGTATACAGTCTTGTATTATAACTAATGGCTGTTTGCCCTGCAAACATGTCAACCTGTGCCTTCAAGTCATCTGCGATGCAGAGGCTTGTCTCCGAAACCTTGAACGGGCGGTCGAATTCCCGAATGTTTCGGATCAAGTCGCGAACGCAGCGGATGACATCCTTCCAGATCTTTGTTCCAGTTCTTTTCCACCTTAGCTCAGCCGTGTGCCAAGCTGGCAGAGCCCTGTATTAATTCGGGCAGGTGCAGCACCGGCCGCAGTGTTGACGGCATTTTGCAAAAAGGGTGAGCTGAGGAGTCGAAGAATCGAGACGGAAGCCCAATAATGAGAATAGGGTTCCTTTAAAGGGGTCTTTTAAAGGGCTACTAGACGGGATCTAATGGGGCCTTAATAGTTAGACTAGGGTTTTGGGGTATGTGATACTGTAACTTTAGTAAGGAACCGCCAACATTGCAAAGGTAATTAAATTGGCCCTCATATTACTGGGTTCTAAGGGGCGCACGCAGGCCTGAACCCAGTGTTGGTTAAGCCTCTGAGTGTCGACGGTGAAGCCTGCAGAGGCCCCTCGCACGCACTGCATCTGTGCACGAAGCCGTTTGATTATCAAAGGTAGACTGACTCAAGTTCGAGGCCTGTGTCATTTTAGGTTTTCGGGAGCCATGATGGCCGATGATGGCTTTACGACGCCGTTGCTCAGCATGACCTGGCTTCTGACGCGCACGGTCTCCGTACCTTAGAGGTTTGAACGGGGATCCAGATGCTTCTCGGGGTCATCAGACTTGCCCAGGCTGGGATAGTTTCAAGCTTCGTCATCAGCTCCCGGTTTATCGTCGAAAGCGGGCTCGATCTGTTTGGTACACTCGAACCTGATTTCTCGTCGGGACGAGGAGATGTGTCCGATTCGCCTCACCAAGGCCAATGAGCCCCAAATCGTGCGCTTCCACTATCACTCTGGATCTGCTGGAAGAGCTTCTGGGCAGAACTTCGGGAGAGCTTCAGAAGGTCAGGGGCGGTCATTGGAGACCGATTCTTTTGGATGCTCCACTGTGCTTCCACGGCAGTCGAAGCTGGTTCTGAGTTGCATGTTATATATACGGCTGTACCCAGGTGTCTCTCCGATGTCTGCGAAAAACAGCAAGATATGTGCAGTCGCTGGGAGTCTTGCTTGTGATCATCTCAGGATGTGCGAGGCGGATCAGATCACTGAGTCGTTTGCCTTGCAGGGCAAGGTGCTCCTGTCCACTGCCTTGCGTGGGACAACTCGCGCTGCTTGATCCCAGGTGAAGCAGCTGCGCCGGGAGAAGCTGCTGCGCTTTTTGAAGAAGCACGGCTTTGCCCAGGATGTGCCTAGGATATGTGAAAGCCCGGTCTAAATTCCCAGACATGACAGAATTTCAAGGTCAACGAGCCTCGCGTGCCCGGATGTACAGCTTGGTTCACGACCAAGAAGGAAGTCGCCTCTTGGACAGCTTTACTGGGTTTTCGATCGTTGTCCGAAGCTTAGGAATGGGGTCATTGGTGAATGCGCCATCTGGAGCCTATTATTCATGAGAACGACCCCCCCCCGCCGTGGGTGTGCAGTATGGCCTCAACTGAGGAGGAGAAAGCTGAAATCCATGCGTGTGCCTGTCTGAAGTCGAAAGTCGCTAGGACCAACCGCAGGCTGAGACTTTTGCAAGGGTTCGCTGACTGTAACAAAATAGCCATTTCCTGTCGTCGGTGCTTCAGGTGTACCCCATTCATGTGGCGGCGCAGCTCGGCGATTGCCAAACCATCCGGGCTTTGCTGGCTGAAGGCCCATGGCGTCGATTTGTGTAGTTGTTCGTCTATCTGCCCACTTATCGGTCTGCTTGCCTATCTATGTATACGAGTCATGTATTCTTGCGGGACCTGCTTCGGAGAATTGCCAACAGATGCACGCGTGTATGAAAGGAACGGTATGCGATTGGGTAGACACTTGTGTAAAAAAGTGCGTCTGTACACGGGAAGTTTCCTGGCCCAAGGCCTAAGATCACGAGAATCCCGAAAGCCCCGGACGGTCTGGGAGACCCCATGCTGTGCTGGAGCCGACAGTCCCAAGACTTCATGAAGCTTGAAAAGCTCTAGAACCGAAAGTACCAGCAGCACGGCCTCGCGGCTCAAGCTTTAAAGACAATGATGTTCTTTTCGGTGAATTTGCCGGCTGGGAGATGTGTGTCAGGCCTTTGCAAGGGGAAGCTCGATGTTTGCACGCCATTCGATATCAGATGAGATATCGAAGTCCAGCCGAGTCCTTGCCGCTGGGTCCAGGTGCCGATCCAACCAAGAAGACGTCCAAGGGACGCACAGCAGCAGACTTTGTCAAGGACGCCGGGAGCCGGATCGAAAGGTTTGGGTCCATGGCCGAGACTGAGGGATGTCCCTTTCTCAACATGGGAGTTGTGAAAATGATGGAATCGTAATGTAAACCCCAACTGATCGCCCAAAAGAAGAAACGGTATCCGTGATCTTGGGAATCACCCATGAAATCTGATTTAGTTATCACTATGCCAGGAGTGCACAGGACCACGCCGGGAAGAAGCTGGACGCATTCTGGGAGCTTGAGGTGAGATCGCAGGATGTTATGGGCTCTCCTTGGAGGATTTCCGCACGGAGACTTGGGTGTCCGAAGGTCCAAGCAGTTCAGGTTTAGGGATGATGTACCTGGCCCCTTAAATGTGGATTCTGCTGTATCTTTAAAACCCTAAACCCTAATTCACATTGGGTGACATGTGGATTCTGCTGTATCTTGATGGACCCAGGGCTGCAATCCCAGTCTCCCTCGGGGTCCTCCCAGATCAGGGCCATCCAAGCTCAAGGTGGCTTTTGTACCATCCACTGAGACTGGAAAATCGCCAAGAAGGCGCTAGCCGGTACCCGTTACACTCGATGTGCAGACAGCACAAAGATTCTTGAGACGACTACAACCGGGTCCTACTATGCTTTGTTCGTGTGGTGTTTGTGCTTTCCATACATCGGATCGTCAATAGGGTAAAACAGGTGCGTATAAACTACGCGCAGTGCGCACGGCTCTCACTTCACCGGAGAATGAAGGAGGCAACAGGTATTGCTGCTAAGACGAGGTATCGAAGTTTGGTCCAGAGCAAGTTAGAGCCGTGCATGTTCATGTTGTGTATCTCGAACCAATTCAGAGAGGCAGTCGTCTGCCGATTGGACAAGCCTTGACGGCCTTTTTCTGAAAGGTTTTCAGGTCGGGGGCTGGCTCGGTAAGGAGACTTCACTGCTTTTTCAAGGCACGCTTGGTACATACAGGAGTTTGCAGCATTGCAGTGTTGGGTCGCCAAAGTGACTAGACTTGTTGTGACTTCACAGCGTGCACGCTCTTCATGCTGCAAGCAAGCAGGGGACCAAGTGGTGTACCCTTTTTGCTGACAGCACTCTGGATGCATGTTGCTTGAACCAACTACTGGTAGCCCTGAGCCGGCGAGTTCTTGGGTGCCTTCACATCTGCGAAGTGATCATAATTACCATAATCGTAATACGTGTTAATGTAGCAGTACTAACAAGAGCTATAATAAGTATAATATGCACTAGACAGGTAAAACATAGTCATACCTCAAGAAGGGGGGATGGGTGCTGGTTTAGGACTAGGATAGGTTCCTCTGGTCTCGGCGACTCTCAGGGCGCGGCTCCCTCATCTAAGGGTGAGAGGTCTTGATTTCCATTCCAGGCAAGTATTTTGATCTGCC